TTTTTAGCAAATGTTAACTACTTGTTAGCAAACATCATAAAAGTGACCACTTTTTTGCGCCTACACTCAAAGAATAATAATGTATGTAATACTCGAATAGTCTTATTAAAAATATTTTGTTTTTTCAAAAATGCTCGAACTCTTCTTTAACTTTTAACTTTCTTTTTAAAAAATTCACAAATTTTAACATGATGTAAAATTTTACACTTTTTGGTTTTCAAGTAATAGTAATCGACAATTTTTATAAATGGAAACCTTTTATTTTTTTAGTCAATCCGATAGATCTTTTAATTATCTAAAGGACAACACTAAAATATTAAATATTACATAAAGTTTTTGAAAAAAATCACCAAAAAAAGTGAAATAATACCAACAAAAAATTTAAAAAAAATTGTATTTTTTAAAAAGAAAATTGACCTGTTCGAGCATTTTTGTCAAAACAAAATACTTTCAGTTTTAGTGAATAAGATTATTCCATAATTTTGCCGCTCACTCTATTATCGATGTTACTGTTAGCGTGATTAGCAGTTGATATTAAATTATGATATATTTATTTCTACGAAGTAGTAAAAATAATACACAGTGATTATATTAGCATTTTATTTTATTTAAAAAAAATACAAATTAAAAAACATACATACCTACTTATGTACAATATTTTAGACTTAATAATAATAATTATTAATGAACTACAATCAACAGTAAAACTTTATCATTTCGTAACTCTCTCTAGGCTCTAGAGAGTACAAATAATTGTACGTATAAGTGCATTCATTAAATAAATATAATGAATGCATTTTGTTCAAATAAATATTCAAATTCAATATTAAATTCAAATAAATATTTGAACAAAATGGTTAAACGATAATAAGTATTAGAAGTAGTTTTTGAACTTTAAAGAGTTTTCAAAAGTCTAAACACAAATTCTAAAAAATTCAATTCAACAGACTTCATTTTATATTTTTAAATGCAAAATAAATTTTTGATTTAATTTAATTTTCTACAGAATTATTTCTGAAGAAGTCTTTTCTTCTTTTTTTCGATTTAGAGATTTAGAGCAAAGTAAAACCTTGTTGAAATATCATCAACTTTTCAATCAAGCTTTTAGTAAAGTAACAATTTTTCATCTTTTTTTACCCATTGATTAGTTATTAAAAAGTCCGACTTATCAAATAATTGATTTCTTTGAAGTTTTTATTCTGGTCGCATTCGTCGACTTTTATAAATTTAATTCTGTGCGAGTGCACTGATTAAATGGCATTTCCGGCTTTGGATCGGTCGCCATTTTAAATATCGAGTCAGTCTGCAGATAAAAATTTTCCTCGATTTGGTTGAATCTTCAATAATGTTAAATATGTAATAAATTAGGAAACTCGCCGGTTTGAAGTTGCAGTTGCTACAAAATAGATAATGTACAAAACAAGAAAATCGTTTCTGAAATACCAACTCGCGCTATTATTTGTAAACTAACAAGGAACTAGATCGTGCAGGCGGAATTACGTCGACGACTAAGCAGTTAATTAAATTTTACTTCCGTTAGGTAACATCAATGCACAAGAGCGTTTCCAGGAGGTTCAAGAACCGGAATTTGCCGAAACAAAGGAAAAATAAATTTAACTCTTGTCGAAAATTATATTTTTTATTACACGTTGTAAAATTCAAACATACGGCGAGAGAAAATTGCATGTCAATTTAGTTGAAGAAAAATGCCGTTTTGTACATGCATAAATAACGAAATGGGGGATAAAACTAAGATTTAAAGCAATGTTAAATTTGGGGCGGAATTTCGATCAATAGTGGCCCTTTTTTCCCTATTTAGCAAGCCCAAATATTTGTTTAATCTTCAGTTATTTCGCAATTATTCGTCGAATTTATTCGAGCGTGAAAGTATTTAAGTAATGGGAATTATGCATTTTTACATCTGAGGCGAGTGAAATAATTTTTTTAAGTTTTCAGCGACATTAAAATTCAAATGTATTTATCTGAAATTTAAATTCGAGCTCAGCCCTGAAATAAGCAAAAGTTTCATCGACTTGTCACACTGACGACTGACAAAATAATTATTCCCCTGAAAAATCAATACAAAACGGCCATTTTGAACGCTGTAATTCCCATCGAAGGTGTGGATAAGCACAAACATTAGACAGGTAATAATCATATTGTAGCAAAAGTTTGCCGTATATGAGAGCCTTTCTTGGAAGTTACGCGTAAACATCCGAAGAATTCGGGATGAAGTTCATAATGGCGGCAGATGCCTAAATGGGATCCTGAGGGAAATCGACTGATATTCCTCCTCCGACATTTTATTACCTGAAAAATATCACGCGCTTCTTATTAACGCAATTAGCCGCAATCCGAACACATGTCTCCCTTGGAACAATAATTGTAAATTAGAGACGAGCGACATTTCGATCGTCTTCCACACTTTACTTAATGATGTTTGGCATGTTTGACGATGTTTGTGCGACACTCTCATGCTCACTTTCTCCGCTTTTCACTTCCGATATTAAGGGGTCTGATGCTCGCACAAAAACGATATTTTTCCAACAAACTCCAGTCTTGTATTTATTGCCACACCATCTTGATACAGACACTACATTTTTATTACGATTTATATGAATTATTATTTAAAAAAAAATAATGGTAAAGAAAAATTAATTGTTCAGAGCAGCAGAAGTAAATTTTTATCAAAGTGGTCTCTGACTTTGAATTTAAGTTGGCAACATTAAATTAATATACGCATAGAAAATATAAAACTTTTCAATTTTTATAACTTTTGACTTTCCACATCACTCAAAGTTGCCCACTTTAAAGTCAACAACGTAGACCAAAAATTTAATTCAAGAGTTGGTACTATTAGGTAACTCTAGAAAGTACTTTTTTAGTAATTAATCTATAAGTAAAAAATTAAAACTTTTATCAAAAAATTGATAAAAAATAGGCATGTTAAAATAACATGTTTTTTTTTCGAAATCGTCATGGAAATTACATAAAATCGTCAGTAAAAGTATGTTGTGTATTGCTGGTTGCAAACATTAATAACAGTGATGTTGTCAAATTATTATCTTAATGTATAACTAGACACTAAAATAAATTGTCAATTGTGAATACTTTTACACACATTTTATTCAAATTTGCCACTTCAGAAAAAATTTAATGTCACCTTGGCACTAAAGTATTTTTGACTCATATGTTTGATTTGCCTCGGCTGTTATATGTTTGATCATCTCGGCAACAAAAGCATTTGTAATAAAAAATAAAACTTAGTGCTTTTATACATACAGGGTGCTTCATCTCAACTCCCGTCTTCTGTAGCTCAGTTACTACTTAATTTAGATATTTTGTAGAAATTTATTTATATTCTCAGGCGCATTTTAGGAAAATATGTTTGATTATACAGACCGTCCCAAAAAATGTGACGTTATAATTACATATTTTTTTAAATGGCATGATACTATTTTTTTGTGCTCATTGGATGATTTTTTAGTTCTGCATATTCCCAAATTGTTTTTTAAATCGGGTTAAGCATTTCTGTAAAAAAATAAAAATCAAAAAAATTTGTTTTGTACCTTTACTTTTAAGAATTAATAAAAATATAAATAGTGCCTTCTTAATAAAATTAATATCATGTACTGATTAAATAAAGTCAAACAGTCCAAAAACGAGTTTTTGGCAAATAACTCGGAGTGTGTTAAGATTTGAAAAAGGGTGGGAGCTGAGATGAAGCACCCTGTATAAATAACTATTAAAAATAACAATTCAGAAACAATTTTGTAAAAATAAATAGTTTATTGTAATTATTTTAGTTTAAATCTAAGATTTTTTATTGATCTGACGGTAGAATAAAACTTACCTATAGTTGTTTCAAATTGCTTCGCCAAGTCAAAGTTGTATCTAATAAATAAAATTATGTTTTTAGATTGATTTTAAATAAAAAAACATTGTAAGAATAATTAATTGTTAGATACAAAATTCAAAATTCAAAATACAATGTTAAAAATTTAAACCTGTTAGAATATTAGGTGAAGTATTAATTATTATTAATGCAAAAATTTATTACAATAACATGTGGGCATAGTCGTTTGAAATCAAATTAGAAACTTAAAAGAAATTAAAAGATAGAAGACATAACAATTGGCAAGTTTTAAATTTACAATTTCTGTTTTATACAGTGTCGTCAACGTAATTTTAAAGCCATAGCTTACATTAATATGACTGTTTTTTTTTAACCCGGCGCATCCACCATTTTTTAAATATGTATATTCTTAAAAAATTAAGAAGTAAGTTAAATACAGTGAGTGGCAAAACTATGGAATAATTTTATTAAAAGTAAAAATATTTTGTTTTATCAAAAATGTCAAACAAGTCAATTTTCTGTTGAAAAAAATACTCAGTTTTTAACTTCAGTGACATCGGCATTTTTTTAAAATAAAAACCTCAATTTTTTTAGCCAGTTTGATAGATTATTTAAATATCAAAATGAAAACATCAAAATATTAAACATTGCGTAAATTTTTCGAAACAAATTATCAAAAAGTACTTAAAATAATATCAACANAAGAGGAAACAAGGAAGCTGTATCCTAAATTGTAACTCTGTTCAATGTTATTTGTGGCTTTTATTGGCAAAATTTTTGTACTTTTACTAAATAATTATAAAAAAAACATACACAAGATCATCAGTATAATTAAATAGATATAAAAAAAAGTCAAATTTCAAAAAATAAATTTCAAAATTTTTTGACAGAATTTATCTTACTTGAAATTTTTTTCTAGGGCGTGAGTTCTGGCGCGCCCTGTATAACGTTATTGGTAGCTTTTATTGAATTGAATAATTATGAAAAAACATACGTGTACAAGATCATCGGTAATAATAGACATAAAAAATGTCAAATGTCAAAAATTTTTGACAGATAGATTTTTTTTTGTGTTTTTTTAAAACACCCTGTATTATTGGAACTAAGATCACTTGAATAATGTAGAAACGTTTTTTCAGATGCTTTTTGAAATGAACCATTCGTTAGATTCTGATAGACGAGCTTTAATGGACCATGTTTCCCAACTCCTCACCCAGTATCACTCTTTACTCACCCATTCGCTTGAAGATAAGCAACACTTCCATCTCGAAGAGAAACTCTACACTGACAAAGTGAACAATCTTTGTAGACAGAAGGAAAAATTAGAAGAGAAAATAATGGAACATTATAGAAAACTTGACAATGCTTCGTGTAAAAAGAAAGGATTTGGTGCAACTTTGGTGCGAAAAGTGAGAAAAGCCGGTTCTGACATTATCAATAAAGTTCCAAGCCGAGTAAGTGGTTTGTTTAATTAACAAAATTGTAAATTAATTTTGATTGGGTTAGAATCGTCGATCTTGGCATGAAGATGTTTCCCGACTCACTCAAAGTCAGTTCACTCTAGGTGGAGGGTCGGGGGAATCAGCAGGAAACGATTCAGATAACAGCAATGAAGAAGCAAATAGCAAAAGTGATCCTCCGTTTAAGAGATCAACGGGGGGTAGTTTACATGGACACCGACCTAGAGATGAGATTGCTTTGCGAAGATCGCATAGAGAAGCAACTCTTCATAGGAATAGTATAGCGGGTAAGGAATTAGTTAGTATAAAAATGGTGTTTATAATTTTGCAAAGGTGACGAGAATTTTGCTCGCGAGCCTGAAGGTTCGCTGAGTTTGGGGTCAGTTGGTTCCCGAAGAACGGTGTATCTCTCGGAGGACGAGCCGAACACAGTGGCGCCCCCAACGCAGCCCCCATTGCTCGTTTATAACAGGATATCAACTGTTGTTGGCGAGGTTCCGCGCTCTTCGGGCCAACAGAAAACAGAAAGTACAGTTAAGGAAAATCAGGAGAAAAAAGAAGTAGAAAACTGTAAAGAAACAGCAGTTTGGTATGAGTACGGCTGCGTGTGAAGATTTTGATATACACTTTAATGCATTTATATTTAGTATTTAACTCACCAAGAATGTAGGAATTTATTTTGCAATGGTATTCGAATTCTGACCGTTTTGCATTGCCGAGACGAAAGTTACGCTTATTTTTTATGGTTTGTAAGTAAAACAGAAGGTTTTCACAGCGTAAGCAAGAGTATTATATTTTTTACTTTGCCGATTTTAACTATTTATTATATTTATTGTAAATAAAAAGTGAATTTGATTCGATGTTTTATTGTACTTGCACAATTTGTTTGTCAAGACCTTTTCTTCAAAAATAATTATTTCATTATTAACATACATGGAATAAATCATTTTCGGTCCAACATACAAGGAAAAAATTAAAGAGAGTTTATAGTTTTATTTATTTATAACAGTTTTTATGGTTTAAATTATACAGTGAGCGGCAAAATTATCGAATAATCTTATTAAAACTGAAAATATTTTGTTTTGGCAAAAATGCCCGAATAGTTTAATTTTAAATACACAAATTTTCAACTTGATTTAAATTTTTTCACTTTGGTTTTTAATAAATCGACATTTTTTTTAAAGAAAGCCCCTATTTTTTAGCCATTTCTATTATTAATATTACATAAAGTTTTCGAAAAAATAATCACCCAAAAGGTGAAAAAATATCTACAAAAAATACAATTTTAAATCAAGTTGAGAATTTTGTATTTTTTAAAAAGAAAATTGACCTGTTGGAGCATTTTTGTCAAAACAAAATATTTTCAGTTTTAATAAATAAGATTATTCCATAATTTTGCCGTTCACTATTTTGGTTTTAATTCAAATAAATAATGAAAATCTATAAAAATTTTGAAAGCAAGAATAAATAAAATAAAAGTAGATTATTGTGTTAGGGATGATTTCAGGTGTGTTATGCACCGTTCTAAAATCTAAGTAGATGGTTTGAAAGTGTCATTCCACTATCGTAAAATTTTACGAGAAATTCCCGTTCTGTGAGTAAAAAATTCCACGAACCGTGTGAGGTTATTATTTGTAATGGGAATTGAGAATAGAGCTCGTGTTTTGCTGCAGATGGCCCTCCTGCAACACCATCCTTTTGTATTTATAAAATATAGTCGCAGAATGTTCCTTTGTCTCATTAAAATTTATATGGCACGAAATTTCGATAATTACAATAAAATCTATACCGGCGATTTGAAATTTCTCGCTGGTGGTAGGAGTAGTCTTCCTTTTTGTATCGATTTGTTAAAAAGCAAAGTGTTATATTGACACTGCTACCCTTTCCTCGAGTGTTTTATGGCTTTCTTGTGTATCCGTAATGTCTGACACGCAGCCTTTAAGTATTGGTTTTAATTTTCGTAGTAAAATTTAAATAGGGGAAGTTTCTCTCAACCGCAATGGAGCGTTAAGCAGGATATCCCGTCAGGATGTTCCAGTCCAAAGGATAATTTTGTGTGATTTTGAATTAAAATCGAATTTGAATTAAGCAGCCGCTCATATTTGCCTCGTCACAAAAATAAATAAAACTCGAGAGCTTCGCCCTTATTACGTATGCATAAGAAAACTTCCGTTTAAGAAAAGAAACTGTCTTCAAACAATGAACTTTATCACGACATGTACTTACCATACATTTCTCAAGATGGATGGTGTTGTGTGGCCATAAAAATGTCGATCGAAACTTTCAAACTTTCCAATAATTTGAATTTATAGACGCAGAAGATTAAACTTGTAGTTAAATCGAATCAACCAACTCAAATAATTATTTAACGCCCCAAAGTTTCCAACATTCGGCATATCTTAGTGCATTAATTCTGAGGTGATTAGTTTGGCTATCCAGGCAGAAAAAATATCAACGTGTAAGCATAAATCCGACTCGCATCTGGTTTAGTTAATAAATTATAATAAATCTGGCAATTTGCATTCGGAGTATGTTGTTAGACATAATCTTAATTGACTTTAATGACTGGAATATTAACAGGAGTAGCTTCTGATAATGCGTACATATTAAGGGAAGGTAATGTTTACCAAACAAGGCGTATATAAAGCTTTCCAAGTCATTAATTGAGTGGTTTCTCGACTTGATTTTAAAGACAGGCGAAAATGAAGCTTTCAAAATTTATGTTTTTTACAAAAATACTAAAAAACAACATATTCTGATCGACTATGGGTTATATTAATGATAAAATAAAGTATTTTTAATCAATTTACAACGATTGTTTTTCGATCCACACTAATAAATATGAAAAGATATTAGATATATTAAGAAATCAAAAAAGATTACTATAGATTTTTATCAGTAAAATTTCAAAAATAAAAATTCTGAACGCGACTGTAAGCAAAACTGTAACTTTAATCGACTTCATGTTTTCGTTTTTTGATAAAAGATTGTCTACAGATTTTGGTGGACTCACGTTCTTTTTAGTTTAGTAAAAATTTATTTCGAAAACAAAGATTATAAAAATTTATGTTTCGACAAAATGTCGAAAAAAATTTAAAAATGACACCACTAGGAGTTCCAAGCACATAAAATGCCATTAATACATTGTTTTTTTTTTATTTACACTTAAGTTACAGTCGTAAAATTACATGAGAATTACGATTTTATAAGATTAAATGTCTTGTGAGGAGTAAATTTTGAGTTATCCATATGTTTTGGCAAATTTTTAATAAAAAATAAAACTATTCTTTTGGTTTAATAGTGAAATAAATTAACTAATAGTTACACAAAGATTAGCGTTTGTCATAAAAAACTTTGTTTTTTTCTTTTGCATGTGAATGTTTTCATATTTTTCTCTTGTTCTTTACAGTTAAATATCAATTAATTTAGAATAATTTCTATTTCTAATTTCTATTTTCAATGTCATTTTACACTTTAACACTAAATAATTTTTACAAACGGTTCGTTTCAAAATTTATAATTTTTATGAATTATTGACTTCTTAAATCCACCACCATTTTTCGCAAAGAGAGTGCAGAATAATAGAAATGTTTGACAATGGTGAACAAAATATTAAAACATTTTTTTGTGGTAAAAGCTAAAATTTATATGATATTTAGTTTTTAATTTAAAGTTGAAATATACTTTTATTAGACTCAGCTTGTATTATTGAATATTACTATAAAAGAGCAACAGAAATTGGTTTTGTAGACATACAAAAAAATACGATTTTCAAATTAAACGCTGCGATAAGTCTTGTACAAAACTGACGCGTCTTATTGACCGAAATTTCTTTAAAAATACAAAGCTGTTTTTTTCTGCGCTTTTATTGGCAAAATTTTTGTACCTTTACTAAATAATTATAAAAGAACAGACAGGGTGCGCCAGAACTCGCGCCCCAGAGAAAAATTTCAAGTAAGATATGATACCAGGAACATATAAAAAATGTTTAAAAAATTCTCTGTCAAAAAATTTTGACATATATTTAATAATACTGATGATCTTGTATATGTTTTTTTACAATTATTTAATAAAGGTACACAAATTTTTCTAATAAAGGCCACAAATAACATTAAACAGAGATACAATTTAAGATACAGCTTCCTTGTTTCCTCTTCTAATAGCCTATATTTTTAATATCTATTTTTCCAACAGAATTAAATAGTCAAAGTGCAAAATTTAAACTCTCATAACTTCGAACTTTTTATAGATAATTTTTTTTAACATTTTTTCCATGTTCCTGGTATCTTACCTTATATAGCATTTTTCTCTGGGGCGCGAGTTCTGGCGCATCCTGTATACAACATCATCAGTATCATTAAAAAGACATAAAAAAATGTTAATTGTCAAAAAATATATTTTTTTTGACACATAGTGTTTTTTTAAATTTTTTTCCATGTTCCTGATCTTACTTAAAATTTTTCTCTGACACCTTGACACACCCTGTATATGACCTATCTTTATCTACAAGGGCAATTTTTCTCGACTTGGATGATCTTTTTTGTTAGATAAATAAAATCAACGAACCATTCTAAAAAATCTAAAAACGTCGAGGTTTATAACATTTCCCTCCATTCTTCAACCTTAAATGTTGTATCAGCCTTTAGATCGTTACGGTGAAATAACGAGATTATTGATAAAGAAATAAATATTTTAAAACTCGCAATGTTGCTAACGAAGTCTCTATAGACGTTCTTTGTAAAGTAAAACTTTTATTTTTAACAGTGGAGTTACATAAAACAACACATTTTGAATCAAAAAATCGTGTTTTTATTTTTTCTAAATTCTTGCTTGCTTAACTGCATAAAATTCCCTTATCAGGCGTCCACATTCGTAGTTCAGAACTCTAAATTCATATATTCCGCATTACGTAAAGCAATCAAAAAAGGACACGAATTTCCCGAGACGAATGGATTCTTTTATTAAAAAATGAAATTTATATCTTTTTCTGGAGCCTCTAAATGTTTTGATTTAACCTCACCTGCAATCTTGGTCAGTTATTGCCTTTTAGTAAAATTGCATCCAGTGAAAATGGGTCATTTGTCGCATTCTCAAGACACGACAGTAAATAAATAGCTAAATTTAAAGACAAGATAAACGATAGTGCAGTCGAATTTTATAGCCCAGTGCAATGATATTGGAAAGGTGCTGATGCTATTGGCACATAAAAGATCTATTTGAATGTCATTTACTCCACTTGCACGACTATACTCGCGTTTTTGACGTCATAAAACAGACATGGGCTTATGTGAAATATTTTTACATTTGCGAGTTTATTGGTGTGGTTAAAAGGTGCTTAATAGCAGCCGTCTCACATAATTTTATGTGTATCTACATCTCGGGGGAAATGCCGCTGGAATTACTTTTACTGCAAACTCTTAAGATAAATTTTAAATGGCCAACGTTTTATTTAGAGTAGAGTCCCCGAATATCACCGGAAACTCTAGACAAAGAACGAGTTATTGAAAAAATTGTTTTATCATATAAATGAAACGTTGATTAAAGCAATTAAAATGCAAATTAGAATCGGACACAAAGACAATCTGAATCTCCGCCAACGAGTTAGCGATAGTCCAGGTCTGTTTAAATTTACATAACTCTTGGTCTAGAACTCCAGACTATTCCACTTATTGAAACAATGGTTATTAAAACTGTGATTTCGACATGTATCACTAATACCACCACCATAAATATTCATTATGAAGGATAAAATTCATTTGGGGCTTCAAGCAACATCGAAATAAATTACCCTACTTTAGTAAATTTGCAATTTTGTATTCACAACACTTATTTGCTTGTGATAAATAAATCTTAGTAAATAGACTTTTTCCAACGTTATGGCGCATCTTCGAACCTTTTACAACCGATCCAAAGTAATGAACAACATTATGCTAGTTTTATAACACCCGACTCAAGCTTTCACGAATTTTTTTAATCAGGAGGATTCATTAATTTAAATGGGGATCGGATGACGTTACACAAGATAAAAAGACTCCTACAAGACGGAAACAAGAAACTTCCGGTTGTGCGTTTGAATCAAAATAAAAAAGTGACTTTTGACGCAAATTTTTTGAATTAATTATAATTAATTCGTTTTGCAAATTAATAAATGTGTGCTTTCGTGTCGTAATGAATTTGTTATCTGCGGAAAAGCGAGCGCCGCTCCTGCTTATCTCAACGCGAAAATAAATTAATAGGTGGAAAATAATCAGAAGACATTAGCAGGAAGAGCGACTCCGTGGTTAATTACCATTTCTATAACTTCTATTCAAAACAAAGTCGTAAAACCCGAAATGAATGGCTAAAATGTTTAATCTCTTAATGAAATCGCTTCGTGAAGAATCGCCCTTTATCCCGTTTCAGAAAAAATTTTGTTGTAATACATGCTTACATCCGCAGCATTATCCCCTAAACATTGTTTACATTTTCAAAGAACTTCCATTTCTCGTCACGTGTCGTTCCACCAAGACGATGTATTTTTTATCTCCCACCGGAAACAGTGTTAGAGATTCAATTTACAATAAAACTTTTAGGTTTTATTCGCGCTTTTGTGAAAATATCTGATGCTCATCGTTTTGTAAATACGGGGAAATGTACGTATTTATACACAAAATGAACACAAAACGTGCAAAATAAACAATTTGGAGAGAAAAACTTCAGGCCATATTACTGACACAAGCCAGAAAATTAGAATCTTTCACGTTTGCTTAAGTGCAACATAACGAAAACTCTATCCGTAAACTTTATAAGTTTAATTATAAAAGTTGTAGTGTCTAGAATAAAACGACTTCCGCTTAGTTTACTTAGAAAAGAAACTTCTTTTTACTTTTTTTAGTTGAAAATGGACAAAAAAATCAAACGACAATAAGTGATTTACGTGAAATTAATTGTGATATAACAATTACCAACTTTAAGTAACATTTAGTGTAAAATAAAATATCAATTGAAAATAAATTGTTTCAAATACAAGAAGACTATAATTTCTTTTGTTTCCTTAAATTTCTAACGTAAGAATAGTTTTTTGTGTCATTGACGACTAAAATATATTGCACGTGATTGTATATTTTTTCAAATATTAAATAAACCATTGACAATCGATATATAATAAAATGGAATAAATATACAAACATATCATGTAAAGTCGCGGTCAATTCATAGTGGCCACTTTCCTTTGTACATTTGTAAAAATTGAGTTGTGTAAATCCGACTTTAAACATGCAATTGTTTTTTTAGCAAAACTGACAATTCTGAAAATGTCGGGTTAGAACATATATATAATATATTATATATATTATATATATGTATTATATATATATGGGTTAAAATACTTTACATTAAAATCTATTGCGCCTGTCACAATTGTTGACACAATTTAGTTAATTCTGCTACCAGCAATACACTAGAGGTGGCGGGCTAGGGGTTGCCAACTTTGCAATATATTAAATAACCACTAAGAATTGACCGCTACTTTATCTTGCTATCTTGCAAATAGAAATAAAGTTTTTTTTTAAAGGAAAATCACCAAAAATCAAAATTTTGGTGAAACAATTGGTAACAGCTTATTTGACAGTACCAAATTTGTCTCCGTTTTTGTGAATTTGTCTCTAGACGATTTTTTTGCTAAAGTTAAATAACATCGTTTTCAAATTAAATCCAAATCCGGAATTGCCAACTTCTGTTATTAAAATTACCATTTGCTAGCGGTGCCAACATTACGACTGTTTGACTTTTTAGTGTGTTATAATAATTATTTTAAAGCAATACACATTTTTAATAAAGTAGCAAATGTAAAAAAACATTCATCGATGTAAAAATTCGATGTTTGAGAAACATCGATGTTTCAGGAATTTCGGTACATACTTTACAGAAACCTGTAATGGGCCAAATGTCAAATATGTCAACTTGTCAAACATCAAAAAACCCAAATAAGTTATAAATTATCCCAAAATTACATTAACTTTATAAATGCGAGTGAACCAAATCGAAAGTGTGAATAATACAATAGTGACTAGTCTTTCAGGGAAACTTTTGTTGCAAAATCTGTGCTATTAAAGCGATGAGTCATCTGCAGTATCACAAAATGATATCAAAACGTTAGTTTTAGTCGAAATCAAAAAGCACAACGTCTGAATCTAAACCATGTGCCTTAAATCGAGTATTAAAAACCTGGAGTGATGGACGAAAAGCGAGTTGCTGATTATTTTGTAGTGGCAGGACTGCCAGACGACCCTGAGCCTCTAGATGAGACAACTCTATCTGAAGGGGGCAATCTTAAGGCGAGTCATGGCCAGGCTCCCATTACCGATATTAGTGTCATTTTTCCCGGGTTGGGTGAAAAAACACCTCAAGGGTGGTGTGTCATTACAAAAACACCGTCAGGGCTTGTGGCTGATCTCAATCACGGTAGTTTAAGGACAAATGAGTGCTACTTGTGCTATCGGAGGAGTCGAGATAAGCCCCCTTTAGTCGACATAGGTACAATTTAAGTAATTTTTAACAAAAATTTCAAAAATTGTTTTAAGGTGTTATGTATGATGGCAAAGAATGGCTCATGCCCGACGCTGAGGTCGTCAAAGAAAGCGTGGGGAAACACGTAGCCAACGTGAATAATTCTACGTCTCAGACGTTCATCACCTATAGAAGGGGGCAACCCACGATGCCTTGCAATGCTCTTGTTGTGACTGATGTTTGTGTTGTGATTGCTAGTAAAGGGGAATCTCCACCTCACGCGTTTTGTTGCATCAACAAAAACCTAAATAAGGGCATCGTGGGGAGCGACGTTTTCCTCTGTTACAAGAAGTCGATGAATAGAGCCAAGTTGTTGACTTATAAACCTTCCGTTTTGTCCAGGTAATTAGCATTAGAATTTGGCGCCTAGGCGGCCATGAATTACCCAATGCGCAATTTCTACTTTTTTCTGCACTGAAATATTTTTTACCTCCTAAAGCACCATTTTCGTGTCCAACAACCATGAAAAGGCGCAAAAATATTCAAAATTAAATACATAATATAATTTCGGTTAAATTTCAACTAATTTTAGAGTTAACGCTAGCTATGTAGAGGTAAATTCTAGCGCTTTTAACACAAGATAACGCAGACTAACCCAGACAAACTCAGGTTAACGCAAGTTGTGACGTCATGAGCTGAATTACCAACAAGAAACAAAATGTCACAAATAACTAGAGAGAAAAAAACTAAAAGTGACAGGTAATTACTGTCAATTGTTATTATTTTTTATTATTAATTTTTGTCAAAACAATACGTTATAATTAATGATACCTAAATATCTGCAAGTACATGCGGACAATACGATCTGCGCAGTGATTTGACGTTTTACAACTTTTTTTATGAAATGTGGTACGATAAACGATTCGTTCAAAAGTTTATTATTTTTTCATGAGAACGCTTTATATTGATTGTAAAACACTAATAATGTAACTCAGCAAATTAATACCACCTAATGGGTGGTTTGCATTCATTATAAGTCAACAGATTGAACTTTTTGTTTCATTATCCTTGAGCGCAATGGTAATTTGAATAAGACGTGTTGCCGCTATTATCCGATGGTGACAAACTAGAGAAAGAACACAACAGATTAAAAAAAGAGAGCTACTAAAATGACAAAGAAAAACTGCGTTTTAAGTGAGAGAGCCTGACATACATAACCCATTAACCTAAGTCGGACTTGGGTTAACTTGCGTTTACTCTGGTCTTCTCGCATAAGGTTTGCCAACTGGATCAAATTAAAATTACTATTAGGGATTTTTGCGCTCAGCATTTAGTGACAATTATATATGACGTCATAGTTGTCGCTAGAACTCAATTCCATGTCCGGGTTAGTTTGCGTTATCTTGCGTTTGGACCGCCAGAATTCGCTTTAGATCTGTCACAGTGTTGGCAGCTCAAAACAATTAAATTCACCAAATCTGAGCTAAAAAGTTTCTAGATTGACACCTATTTTCACCAGATTACAAGATAATGAAATTTTGTATTATTATTACTTAATTAAATTAAGATAAAAACTCTTTAATACTGTCGAAAATTCACATTTTTTACGTAAATTTCGCAAGTCTGCTCAAAAACATGCTTAATGCTCGAAAAATGCAAAAGTAGGTAACACTATTTCATTTAGTCTTTTTCTACAATTTTTTGGCTAGTTTTGAATTAAATTTTTCAAAATACGGGTTGACAAAAAATCTATTGGCAATACTGAATTATTGGTAATCCTTCTAAATTTGTTATATCAGAAAGTTTGATGTTTAAATTTGAAAATCAAGGTTGCCAAATTAAATTTTAAATTTGACACCAAATTACCAAATTTGTTATATCAGAGTGTTTCAGGTGACGGCTAAATCAGCAGTGGCCCGTCCCAAATGAATGACAATTGCCTATAAAAGTTTGACGTTTAAATTTGAAAGTCAAGGTTGCCAATTTAAATTTTAAATTTGCCACCAAATTATTTACAATCACCCGATATTTACGTTTTTTACTTGAAAAACGTGCTAAAATACTTGACAAAAGCAAAAATAATGACTTATTTTGATGTTTTTTAGGTTTGTTTTAGCAAAATCTTGCTATTAATACCATTTACGACCATATTTTGTATTTTTTGTCATATTTTTTTGACAAAATTTTACTCAAACAAATGAAATAACATCTATTTGATTTATTTTTCCTTTGTTTAAGCATGTTTTGACAATATCCTGCAAAATAAATGAGTGTCGAACTAAATCGAGCGAGACACGCTAAAATGATATCAATTTCAATCTAATTTAGTCATTTTTCAGTTTGTTTTAGCAAATGTATTTTAAAAACATGCTGAAACACTCTAAAAATGCAAACATAACACTAGTTTTAGACTAAATCAATAAATTTTCGGTTTATTTTTAGCAAATAAATAATTCTGTTTCTGGCTAAAAACATACTAAAACACTCAGAAATGGATAAAATAATGTACTACCCATTTTAGCGATTTTTTTACCTTGTTGAGTAAAATATAATTTACAAAAACAAAGCTATTTCCGTTTTTTTTAACAAAATTTAGCATTTGGATTTCTGCAGGGCTAAAAAAACATACAAAATGCTCAAAAAATACAAAAAAAGTGTCGTCATTTTTAACTGAATTTACTACATCAATAATTAAAAAAGATAATTTCACTAACATTTGAGCAAATACTCGATTTAAAAAAAATATTTCAAAATACATATATTAATTTTCTGCTAGAACTAGTCACGTTTCTAAAAAATCATCAGAAATTAGAATTTTTACAAAAGTTTTCACCAAATAATAAAAATCACCAGATCTGGTGAAATTTCTAACATTGTAAAGATATATTGAATTTTTTTTTTAAAACATCAGCTTGAATGCTTTATTAGTGTTGTAAAATTAGTTAGGAAAGTTTTTTAGTTAATTTGCTGCTTTATTAAAAATACGTATTTTTAACCATATTACCCTCGGTTTTTTCACGTTTTTGCAGGTACCCCATGAGTGACCTACCAAATTTTCCGTTTCCAAATTCCGTGCCTTTGTTTTGTCTCCCAATGGGCTCTACGTTGGAGCTGTGGCCAAAAGAAGCGACCCGTCCAAAGCCAGTATTTAGCACTTTCGTACTCACAGTATCAGATGCGAAATATAAAGTCTACGGTTCAGCTGTGACATTCTACGAGCCATTTCCGCTTCAAGAACTCAGCGACGAGCAGAGAGAGCTTTTAGGATACACCGAAAACTCCGATTTTATTTTAAATATGAATAAAAGTATCTGTCTTTTATCGCATTGGCCGTTTAGTGATGCTTTCGAGACGTGGCTTTTATTTTTACACGTAAGTGGCAAAAGACTGACAGCAAAGACATAAAAGACGTTTTTAGAATATGGTGGCTAGTGGGGAGCCCCAAGCGATCCCTGTGGAACGATACATCGTGCAGTTGTTGGACGAAGTCCCCTTTCCGTCACCGCGAACTTTACTCGAACTTTCAGATCAAAATGACAAGCAAACAAACAAAGTTATATTGACGCAACCGGAAGATTTGCCATTACCGAGAAGTGCGGCCGGTTTTAGACACCTTTTGCTTAATTTAGGTCCGGAGAATTGTCTCCAAGTCCTACTTTTAGCACTGACTGAACAAAAAATTCTCATACATTCGCTCAGACCTGATACTTTAACGGCTGTAGCTGAGGCCGTTTCGTCGTTTCTTTTCCCGTTCAAATGGCAGTGCCCTTATATCCCACTCTGCCCTTTAGGTTTGGTCGAGGTACTTCATGCCCCCTTACCGTTTTTAATCGGGGTCGATTCGCGTTTTTTCGATTTGTATGACCCACCACCAGATGTCAGCTGTATCGACTTGGATACGAATATAATCACAGTGGCGGAGCCGCAACGACAAGTTTTAAATATTAAGTTATTGCCGAAAAAGCCAGCAAAAAGCTTGAAAGCGGCCTTGGATTATCTCTACTACCAGATCAGAAATAACAGTGCAAATACCGAAGCGACTTCTGGTGATAACATCGAAAGCGAGTTCCGGAAAAAGGAGAAGGAACAAGCGCAAGAACTCGAAATCCAGGAGGCTTTTTTACGTTTCATGGCCTTGACGTTGAAAGACTACCGCTCGTATCTTTTACCCATAACGCGAGCCCCCACTGTTGGTACCACCGATCCTCAAGCTCTCTTCCAACTCGCCGATTTTCTCAAAAGTCGCGACAAAACCCATCATCGATTTTTCACATTAATGATGCGAACGCAAATGTTTATTCGTTTTATCGAAGAGAGGAGTTTCGTGGCTGATGGTGATCAAGGACTTGCCTTCTTTGATGAATGTAGCGAGAAATTGAGTTACGAAGAAGGCGACATCCGGTTAATCGAACCGGATGCGTTGCATAAGAGCGATAGGACGATTTTTGTATTGCCACCGGAACCGAATTCGGATGCACACATTTATACGAATTTCACGCTAGAGCCCGGACTTTTATCCGGGAAAAAACGCAATCATTTGACGTCGCTCTACCATGCGGTTATTCCCGGATCGCCGATGGCCAGGAGGACCAAACACGAAATCAAGTCAGCACAAAAACTAGCAAGGTGAATTTTTTTGGATACTGTACTGGTAAGACGTGTCTACCATCTTGACGACGAGTTTATGAACTATAGTCTGTTCCATTTAATAAACAATTGTACATTTTCGAATTTATAGTTCTAAATTAACCAAAAAGTAATTTAAGTATACACCAACGTAATAAATCTCGTATTTTACACAAACATTTGTCAAATTAGTGACAATCTACACTACTCCAAAAAGTAAGGGAACATTCGTATATTAAAGTACAAGTTGCAGAAGGTATCTATTCAAGTACAGTTGAGGAACAAATGAGTGCTTGAAGAACTTTCTGCAACAAGTGCTTTATACTATTTTTTCTATTTTGTCTCTTTATATCATTTTATAAATTAAAAAACTAAAATTTAATTTTTTTCTAGAGAATTTAGCGACGGTTGGCGACATTTATGTGTTATAATATTAAGCGGCTGTGAAAAATAAAAATTATTCTTATTTTCACGTTTGAACATGAATAGTGAAGAAAGTCCGTCACTAAAATTAAATTAACGCCAACGACTTATTAAAGCACTCAAATGACGTCATTTGGGTGTTGGAATAGACTTATTCTAAACGCAAAATAGAAAAAAAATATTTCTTAAATTTTTTGGTGATTTTTGAAATTCCATCTAAAAATAGTCGTATTTACATTAACATTTACATTTTGAGATCTTTTAGCAAAAAAATTTCTGAGCTACGGTTATAACGTATCCAAAGAAATAGCGCGAGAAAAAGACTGTATTGTTTATTTTTTTTTAAATCAATACATGAGCTGGATAGCTTGTTCATTCAGCTAAATTTTTTTGGTACTACAGTTATCACGCAATCACGCAGCGCGAGAAAAAAAATTGAATTTTTGTTTTGTTTTTAGTCTTCGGACGTGGAGTTTTTTTTTTTTAGTTAAACCAATAGATGGGCCGTATAGCCTGTTTATTCAACTTTAATATGCTCTTTTATATTCTCTTTACATCAATTTGTTGCTGAGATATTTGACTTTTAATGAAAAAGGATCCTTTTGTCTTTGATCATCGATATCTCAACAACCAATGACCGCACAAAGAATGTAAATGTATTGTCAAAACTGGAATGAATGTCAATCCTTTTCCGATTTTTTGAAAAAAAAAATTTTTTTCACCCTCAATATTGATTTAAATAAAAGTTGAAAAAACCAACTTTTTCTGTTGTTATAGTAAATCTGCTGCATATTCACAAATATTGAGGGGAAGACTAATGTTTTTAGATATTTTACAGCTTAATGTACCACCCATATCCCTGTAAATTTTTAAATAGATCAATGAAACCGTTTTCTTGGACCGATTGATCAAAGTTTTACAAAGGAATTAAAGAAACAATTGAACATATTGTTTCTGAACATTGTCTAAAAACCGGTTTTTTTTTTCAGCTTCTTGCAATTTTGCATTAGTTTTTTGTTAAATATGAGGAAAAATGCAAAAGATTAAAAAAAAGTGATTTTTTTTCAAAAATTAAACAGTATTGTTTCTTGATTTTTTTTACAAAAGATTTCATGACTAGAAACTAGACCATTTTTTCATGAGATACATATTTTGTTTCCTTAATTTTTTGGAGTAGTGTATAATAATGGACTATGAAGAATGAGTTCATTTTTTAAATGCTTTTATGCTTTTGCTCAGTGACAGTGTTTCTTAATTTTAAACTAAAAAACGAACTAAAAAATATGCTATTCGACCAATAAACAAACCGCGAAAAGAATAGAATTTCTTCAACAATTTATTAAAATCAATCGTCTCCATGATCAGGAAATATACTGGCATGACTTCACAATTACTCTACTATTTATTGCGATTAGTTCGTCTTAAAAATTTAAAATTTGGTTAATATCAGTAATGACAAGATTCTAATTTAAGCATGCACAGTCACCGATTTTATCAATTTTATTTATCATTTTACGTAAAAAGTTAAAAGCGAACTCTTAAATTAAATTTTAAATACTAAAACTTAAATCTTAAACATTAGTGTAAATGTTACCATTGATCTTAAATATAAATTTTTAAATTAAATCTTAAATATGGAAGCATAAATTCACCATAAATGTACAATTACTTGAAATGGTTTCCAAAAGTCAGTCTGAGAAGAAAACTTGATCCAGGCTTTGATTCTTTTTTGTGAGAAGTCATTTTATTAAAGAAATTAAATTAAAGAAACCGCATAAAAAAAACTTTAACAAACTGGGTTTTCTTGACTCCTTTATTATGCTAGTAACAAAACAAAATCTTTTTCAAAGTCAAGTAATTTTTTCATTTAATTATTATCCTAAATTATTTGTTTTTAAATAATTGGTTTAGTAGTATACTAAAAAATCTTATACTTCACTCTTTATTATGGCCTCGCTAGTTTACGTGACTCGCCCTACCGGGCTCGTCTATAAAGACATTACTAGTACTACTAGTAACGTATCAAGCTATTAAAAAAAATTTGGTTGTGAGATGTTGTTTTCCAGGAAGTGTCAAAGTTCACCGGAATTGTGGGCGAGACTCTTATGCGGCACCTGTCATACTTTGTATTTTATGGTTTTACCAAGTATGTTGTCGCTCAATGCCGGTAAAGAGAAAGCGATACTTCAGCAAGCATATGAATTGCTCGTGCGAGCTACTCAACAAAGATTAGCATGCGACGAGGTTTGCTATAGGTTGATGATGCAGCTGTGTGGGGAACATTCGAGACCGCTATTGGCTGTGAAGCTGCTAGTAATTATGAAGAAGTTTGGGATTCAACCAAATGCTCTCACTTACGGGTAAAATATTAAATCAAAGAAGAAAGTTAGTTGTTTTTTTTTGTATTTTAGTTTGTATAACCGGTGCGTCTTGGAGGCCGAATGGCCGGCGTATTCCGGTTCTAGTCAACTCCTTTGGAACAAACTCCGCAATGTTGTAATGGGCGCGGCGCATTTCCGGTGGGCGGCGAAACATAAAGCTCGGAAATTATCAGCATCGACTGAGGGCGGGTCTAGTTTACTCGAACCTGGCGATAGGACCGCCTCTCGCTCCTCCCTAGACTCACACGAAGCCGTTCAAACCGACAACAGCCTACTGAACAAATTCCGAAAAGCTGCCGCCAACATAGTTAAAGGCAGTCTAAACGGTTCGGCGCAATCCCTCAAAGACGTAGTCGAAGAGGAAGTCGTTGAAAATAAACCGGAAGAACACGAAACGAAACTCAACAATCATTTTACACCACCCGGAAGTCCGTCAGAATGCCGGATTTTATCCCGGTCTGAAAGCGCCGGCGATGCCAACATCATTGATAAATTACAACAAAATAAAAAGAATTGTTCTCGGACTTTAGATTTTAACGGCGAGGAAGAATCCGGGAAACAGTCACCCGGAAAGTGGGTCACATATCCAAAACTTGAACTTTTATCTAAGAAACAAATGTTTTAGGGTGTCTCCACGTACTATTGTCACGCAAAATGATCCCTTAGGAGCGTTTGATCAAGCTCCGCCTCCCAAAACAAGCGTAACTCCACCTCCTGAGCCAGTCCCCATGAATCAAAATCCTCTTCTTACTGACGATCCGATTTTGTTCAAGTCGACGGTACATCGATCAGCTACGTTTGAAGGTAGTCCTCCAGCCCAAAGTAAGATACACAGATCTGAAACCGTGCCGGCGGCAACAGTGGCTTCGAGCTTAGCGAGTCTCAGTTCCAGTTTTAAGTTGGGATTCAGGTAATTTGATGATATGTGTGAAGTTAGCGACAATTTGTTTTGTTGGTCAAGGTTCTTTAACCAATAGACTGTTTGGTAACTTTAATAAGTAACCTGATCTTTCTTCAAACTAAATTGAAGTTGTTTTTGCGGTATTGATCAAAACGAGGGGCCGTTAACTTGAAAAAAATCGATGCAACTAATTCCAATTCTAAAAATAATCCATCGTAATTCCAAAAAAATATACTGAAATTTCAGTTATTTTTGTAATTCGAAAATAATTCAGATAGTTTTAAGAAGTTCAACGTAATTTAAAAAAAAAATAAAAGAATTCCAGTAATTTCAGTAAATCTAAAAAAATTACCAAAATTCCAGTAGTTCCAATAATCTATCCCAATAGTTCTAAGAAATTCAACTTAATTTTCAAAATTAAGTAATTAATTTAAAAAAGAATTCCAGTAATTTCAGAAAAATTTTACCGAAATTCCAGTTATTCTAATAATCCATCGTATTTTTATTATTTTCAGATTAATTCCATCTTAATTTCCCTAATTCCAACTTAATTTTCGTAATTCCAAATTAATTCGTGTAGTTTTAAATTAATTCCTATAGTTCTAAAAGAAATTCAACGTAATTTTCAAAAGAAATTGTCTCCGGTAATTTCAAAAAGAATTCCAAAAAAATTCTTCCGAAATTCCAGTGATTCCAATAATCCATCGAAATTTATTGTTTTTAGATTAATTCCTATAATTCCAACTTAATTTTTGTAATTCGAAAATAATTCCGATAGTTCTAAAGAAGTCAAGGTAATTTTCAAAAAAAAATCATCTTCGATAATTCCAAAAAGAATTCCAGTGTATAATTTCAGAAAAAATTCAGTAGATCTGAAAAACATACCAAAATTCCAGTAGTTCCAATAATCCAATTACTTAATTTTTGTAATTCCAAATTAATTCCGTTAGTTCTAAGAAATTTGAAATTATCTCGGATAGTTTCAAAAAGAATTCCAGTAATTTCAGAAAAATTTTACCGAAATTCCAGTTATTCTAATAATCCATCATAATTCTATTGTTTTCAGATTAATTCCATCTTAGTTTCCCGAATTCCAACTTAATTTTCGTAATTCCAAATTAATTCCTGTATTTCTAATTATCTCTGATAATTCCAAAAAGAATTCCAATGATTCTAAAATGAATTCCAGTAATTTCAGAAAAAAAAAACAGTAATTGTCTTCAGATTACTTCCTAAAATTTCAAATTAGTTCCTATAATTTTAAACAAAAGATAATAATTTTAGTTTTAAATCCAAAGATAATAATTCCAAATACTTCATAGAACTAATTCTAGAGTTAACGGCCCCTCGAATCAGAAGTAATTGCATTCGACTTCTAAATCTAATATTTGAACACATATTAACATACAAATTATAGTAATATAAATAACAATACTTTGTAAGAAATATATGCGGTACAATTTTGGATATTGAAAATTGTTTTTGATGTTAAGTTGTTATTACAAACTTAGTGTCATAACCAGAAATCGCCAAAAAGCTTTGTTTTAAACAAAAATAACATTCTTATTATTATTTGAAAAAAAATCAACACAATGCCTTAATAACAAGAGAAGATAACATTTTTGTTTCCGTAATGGTTTTTGACTGGATAGATTTTTTTTAACAGTTGCATATTGTTGAATAAACTATATGATATTATAAAAATCCAAAGGAAGTTTAACTATTTTCGAACATTCTGTAACATTTATTAATTCATTTTCTGTGGCTTTTTTCGAAATTTTTCCATCAACTTGCAATCAAAAAACTCACACTTTGCATTTAAATTTAAAACATCTCATTTTTAACTTCATAAGAATGATAATTATGAATAAAACTTATGTATTTTAAATTTTAATAATAGAAAAAGTTTCTATTTAAAAAAGTATAAAATCACTGCATTAATATTCTCTCTTATTGTACATTAAAGTTTCTTGACAGCCTATTAATTAGGAACCTGATCACACTCTGATCATAATTTTTGTTCGCGCGTTAGCCACAATGTTCGTTTTTGCCATTGCTTGCATGCCTTATCGTCCTTTCACCGCACGTGTGTAGACCCCGTAGATGTTTTATTTTAGCCGCTATTCACCATCACGCCTCTCCCTGCGCAAAGCCGATCTCAAGATGCCCCAACAGCTGTTGGAAAACGCAATAAACAATCTCAGGTAAGTGATTTGTAGCTGGCGAATCGCACCCAAGTCCCTCAACTCTCCGAAATTAATTAAACAATTTATTATTATAGCCCCAGCAGTTTGACAGGTAAGAAACCGAACGAACTAATCCAAGGTGGTATCAGTTCCATAAAATCTGCGGCCAACACAATGGTGAAAAAACTGGATGAGATCAAAGAGGCCATGTCGACGTCGGCGCACAACACACCGGTTAAAACCGCACAAACCGATCGGTTAGCAGCCGGCGATGCGGACATCGGGGAGTGTGAGTCGACCGATGGGAGTGAAGGTGGGGAGAGACATAGGCGGGTTTCGGCAGAGTTGGGGAGTTACAGGGGGAGTTACACGAATTTGAAGGATTCGGATGAGGCGTTACCGGAAAGTTTGTTTCCGCCACCTTCTGAAGATAAACAAGGTTTTAAATTCAAACACTCTGGGAGTTTATTTAAGTTTTATTTCACAGATTGCGAATTGGAAATAACAATAAATTCGTGTTCGCAATGTCACAATTGCTTGTCTCTTCTCTACGATGAAGAGATCATGGCGAACTGGTTCGCTGAGGATTCAAATTTAAACACGAATTGTCAATCGTGTAGTAAACCAACAGTTCCACTGTTGACAATAATGATAACGGGGAAGAATATTCCGTCTTGTGACCCGTTTAGTGTCCCTTATTTGAACCCACTTGTGTTGAGAAAAGAACTGGAGAATATTTTGACCCAAGAGGGTGACCTTAGTTTAGCCGATGCAAAATTCGTAGATGAACATCCGATCATTTATTGGAATCTAGTGTGGGCTTTTGAACGGATCAATGTCCAAACACATTTACCTAATCTTTATTTGAAGACACGAACGGAAGAAACTAGTGAGAAGAAAGACAAAAGTGAGAATAGTAGTGAAGAAGTGGGAGTTATGCAACCGGTGGAGGAAGGAACCGATCCGCTGACGCAAGAATTGGCGGCTTTGGGTGAGTCAATTTGTTTGGTTGTAAGGTATCGAAGTTCATTTAACAGTCAGTGTGAAAATAATTGTGCGGTAATTGTTTTTTCTGGTTTGGTAGCTGACAAAGAGGAGGGACGTAAGTTGGGCAAAATTTTGTTTTGATTTCAATAAAACACTCATTTAATCGGTGATTAATATGGTAATTTTTTAGAACAATTGGCAGCACAAGTGTGTGTTAGATGCTTGTGGGATGACCCGAGACTGTACAGCGAGAGGCCCCCCATGTACACAACTTGGAAGTTGCGAGACGCGTCCCAAATCAACAAAAACATCGTTACGAAATCGTGAGTCATTTGGTTCAAATTCGATTAGTTGGTTGATTTTTTTTTTCAGATTTATGCAAAAAGTTATCTTTAGTATTCGACTTAACGACTTGGCGGAGCCTTTGAAAGATTTGGCGTCGGATCGTGAGTCACACGATGTGCATCAGGGGAAAAACCGGATTTCGATTTATCGCGACATCTTGTTTCTGGCGTGTAAAGCGTTGGGGAGGAGTCATATCGACTTGAATGAGTTTGATAAACAATACAGTGCGGCTTATTATCGTGCGACTGAAAGGAATAATAGACAGTTTGAGCCCCAGGATAAACCTCTGAGTGCAATCGCGTTGTATTGCCGTCAGTACTTCCGCCCACTGTCTTTGCCTTGATCGGTTCATTTGTGTTCTTTTTATTTAATTAATAAGGTGCACTGCTATATTTTAACTGTAGGTTTTTTCTTGGGTCTATAGTTTTCAATAAAGTTGTTGAATAAAGACAGTTTTGTAAATATTTAACATTTTATTAATAAGAGAATTTTAGTAGACATATCTATAAACTAAATTGCTACATATATTTTTATTTTATTTTTTCTTGTTTTTGTATAATATATGAAGGCAAATTAAAACTAGATTAGTAGAACATTAAGAAAAATCTCATATGAAAAAACTGGGAATAACATGTTAAGACCAAGATTAAGCTTGGACTCGGTTATATTTTCTTTAACAATTGATCATTGCTTGAAGTTAACTATATTTTATGCCAGAATACGAGGAATAAAATTGAAAAAACGAGCTGATTTAATTGGGAGGCAGATGAGCGGTTAATTTATTCATCGTATCCAGAAAATAAAACTCATTAAAGAGGATAACTACATTAATATCAACAAAATAAGAAGAGACACGAGTTCTCTTTGAGGCACATACAAATTTGTGCGCAAACTATACATGATATGCTATTCCTGAGATATTACATAATTAAAAACAAAATTCGTAAAAGTATAAAGCTTAATATCAACTTTTTCTCGCCAAAAGTGTTGCGCAACTGTACAAATTTCTTGTCAAAACTAAGTAAAACTATCAATAAAATATACATCACAAATATTTCCATTCAGAATATACATATAAAATTTCAATATTGGGCATATAAAACCGTGTATTTATCCTCTTTAAAACAAAAATTTGTGCAAAGAGACTAAAACATTTCCGAAGCTTTTTGAATATAATATCTATAAAGTATTTACAGCAAATTTAAGAACCTCGCTCTAAAACCGACAAGTAAGAATATACTGAGCAGAAAAAACACACTTGAACTAAAAGCAAAACGTGGTACATAAAAAAACTTCTTTCATAAGCTTCCTCTTACACATTTTTGCACACTGGAATTATGGAAACACGCACACGAATTGTCAAATGATATAACAATTTGGGAGGAGTGTGAAGCGCCGCTCCCCCTATTATTTTTACACTATCACACTTTCACAGAGGAGAAAAATGCGAAGCAAAACGATCCCATTTTTTTAATTTTTTTGTTGATCATCGCAACGATGAGTCTGTCTTAAAGGATGGTGCATCGCAACTTAAAAGGAACACGACCGTGGCCGCCGATGTACTTGTGCTGACGTTTACCGCTTCTCGTTTTGTCCTTACGAATTTCCCTAACTAACGTATAAAATGCCTCGTCCACACCCATCCTGGTCTTCGCCGACGTCTCCACGAACGGAATTCCGTACTGCCGGGCCACCTGCACAAAAAAACAACATATACCAACCATCCAACACGAGACACCCTGTAGCAATACCCCAACCTATCATATTTAAAATTCAGTTGCTAGGCAACTGGAGGAGTCAAATTACAGGAATCTACCATTCAAGGCAAAAACAACTGAAATGTTCTTAAATAAACCACTAAGCTTAGATAATAATAAGATTTGGGAGAAATATTTACTTAATTTCTTTCCTGTGAGATAAACATATTAGTGAGTCATCAGCATCAATCATTGTTTTTGCATTCCTCTTTCACCAACACAAATCTGACGTAAAACCTACTCAAGTCCTGTAAATGTCGTTGTTTTAAAAAGAATTAGAGTGACAGCTGTCAAATCTCAACAAATCATTTGTTTTTGCACCCAGGTGTGGGGTTGTTTGGGGGGTAATTTTACCTCTCTGGCTTGGTTCATGTCTACAGCCCACGAAGTGAGGTCGCATTTGTTTCCTACGAGTACCATTGGTACAACTTCGGCGTCTTTAACCCTTTTAATTTGTTCCCTGTAAGTTCCAATGTCTTCAAAACTTTTAGCTGAATTAACGGCGAAAACCAGGAGGAATCCTTCCCCCGTCCTCATGTATTGGTCTCGCATGGCACTGTATTCTTCCTGTCCTGCCGTATCCAAAATATCCAATAAACACGTTTCCCCATCGATTACTACTTGTTTTCGGTAGGAGTCTTCAATGGTAGGGTCGTATTCGTCAACGAAGTGATTTTGTATTAATTGTATAGTCAATGCCGATTTGCCGACACCACCTGCTCCAACTACTACTAGTTTGTATTCAGTCATTTTATGTAGAAAATACCAAAACGGCTAAGCAAATGAAAATACCAAGAAGCACACGGTTTTTTTTATTAATTTTTTCAGGGTATGGAGGTCTTCTTATTCGTTATCCCAGCATAATAAAATCAACACAGCACACATTTAAACTGAAGCAATTAAGAACATTCGTATGCCCAGTAAATTACTCTAATTAATTGTAATCAAGAACGAAAGAGTAACAAAAGTTATCAAGACCGTCAAATGCACTACTAAACAATGCTACCAACACATCTCCCAGCTTGAGAAAACCCACCCATCACACCACCACCACAGACGTAAACAAAACAAATTACTCCTTTTTATCCCAAATTTTAAAAAACAACTCATCATTACACCAACTAACATGTAATTGAACAAACAAAATTAAATAAAAGTCACAAAAGTGTGTTGTGCGCCACGATTGAATTTTTATTTGTTGCTAACATTGACAAAGCCCCTCTATTTTTTCTACTTCTGTGAGTGTTATCTAGTGTCGCCAACCGACAAAATCCCCTAGAACCACTATGTCATCAGATGACAAAGATAAAAAATATTCGTAAATTCATTTTTATGTTAATAATTACAAGAAGTTGATTTTCTGCAAGCAAAACGAATCAAAACCATGTGTTTTCTTTCCTTAACGATGTAATTTCAGTGTTGTTAGCTCTTTAAATTTGAAAAAGTGTCCCAGTTGTGAAGTTAAGGTTAAGGTGAGTAATCCTCTTAAAAATTTGTCATGTAAAGGTGAATCACGGCCAAATCCCCGTTTTTTGACAGTTGTGACAATGTCGAGACAACAAGAGACTCCCGGAGGTTACATGGACGGTGTCAGAGTGAAAATATCAGAAAAATATAAGCCCCCTCCACGAATAGGGCTTGCAATGTCCTACGCACAAAGACTCTCTTTGAACAAACAAATCCAAGATACGATACCGCACTACGAGTTTGTTCTAGAAAAGACTGTTATAGAAAAAATGAAGGAGTGGAGAACTGCTAGATCTGTGATGTTTCAACAATTGAATGAGCGATTAGAGAAGGCGAGAGAGGAGAGAAAGCGACAAGACGAACTAAACGACTATCAACTTGAAGAAGAGATCGAAGTTTCAACCCCTAGTCAATGTTACCAACAAAATCAATCAATGTTGATGCCTATCAAAGCCACCTATTCTACTATACTAACCCCCGCGAGTCAAACAGATAAAAGTCCGTTTAATATCTCTGATTTTGAAGCAGACACTTCAAGTCCGTTCGATAACATGGAGTTAAAGTCAATCAACGATTTGGAAGAGTTAGCGCAAGTTTTAAAAGGAGAAGAATCTAAACCCGTGAATTACTCAACGCCGTCTAGCACTAATCTAGCTTATCCAATGGTGGGGCCGAGTAACTACACTTATAGCATTCCTAGTTCCACCAGTTACGTCCCATCGTCACTTTACTCAAACCACAACGGCTACTACTACCCCCCTGAGACGATACAAGCCTACAACCCCCCCTACCAACCTGAAACTAAGTATAGTTGTTCACCTCAAGACTATAAAAGTATACCAGATATTATGAAGACTTTACAAAACGAACTCGATAATACGCATATAGACAATACGCGGAATAGAACTGACGTTTTTCCTAAACGAAGCGATGATTCCACCGACGAATTTACTTCTTTACCAAAGAATATGCAAGATTTGTCAAAGTCGATCAGTTCGATGGGATTCCCCCTGTCCAGGGTCGCCCGAGTGTGCAAAATACTAGGCAATGACCAGAAAAAGGTAACTATTTTTGAGGTGTAAACTTTGTACAAATGCTGTTTTAGGTGGTGGAGCATTTGTTGGCAATGTCCGATTTGCTAGATTTAGGATTCCCCGAGAATAGAGTATCGAAAGCCCTCCTTGAATGCGATAACGATAGAGATAAAGCTTTGGACATTCTTATTTCGTAGCACCTATCACGTGGCTGTGGCGATGTTTAATCATGTTATTTATAATTATTTATTTGTAAATATTCAATCGTGAGGTAAGAAGCGGATCTGCAATAAAACCTATATTGTGTAATGTTAAATAGTTATTTCTTTCAGTATTTTGAATACTCGCGATGAAAAGTGCATTTTTCCTTGGTGATTGTACCAGTTTTATATTTTAAGCTTTTATAAACATCTGTACGATTATCAGAAAATACTCAAGATTATAAATAAATACATAGTTAATTTATCTGTAGTTTTTTATCACGGAATTAAACAAAAAACCGTAGTTACTTGTGAAATCTTTATTTACACTTGTACTTTTTATCATTTTACAAAACACGGACCAAAATCAAACAAACCACACGCACATCAAGCCCACTTGACGCTTATGTCAAATCGCAATTTTAATATAAAACAAAATAAATATATTTATTATAAATAACAATATGTATAAAGTAATAGCAAAATTATATAAACTTGATATATAATTGAAAAATTCCTAGCGTATGCCAGTGTATAAACTCAAAACGGACCTCGTTTCCTTCTGTGACCTTGCTTTACTGAAAACGTTCCAAAAACGTAAAGTCTCATCACCGGCCCCTGTGACAATCGCCTCGCCATCTGGCGACAAAGCCAAATACAACACTCGATACGAATGTCCTGTCAGTTTCGCCACTTGAGTCAAACTCGGATACTTCCACACTAAAATCTGATTTTGCGAATATCCATGTGTTGAAACCAACTCCGAACTGTGTTTAGACCAGGCTAAATTGCACACTTGCGACCCTATAAACGAACCATTAATGCATACGAGTCAGGTAAGTAGTTACTTACGTACCCGTATCCACGCTTTGCATCGGCTGACCGGTCAGAGTATTCCAAAATCTGATACATCGATCGGCCGTTCCGCCACCTGAGGCGAGGAGGCCGTGGTGGTGTGGGGACCACGCGATTGCTTTTACTGCCGCTAGATGGTCGGTGTATGTCTGAACTGGGGACAAAGACTGCATATTCCATACGTAGAGTCGGTTGTCGTTACCACCGGAAGCCAAATATTGGTTGTCGGGTGACCATTTCAAGCCGCACACTTCCTGTCGGTGACCCACGAGGCGGCGTTCAGTCACGGTGGCTGAAGAAAATGAAGATGGCACGTGTCGGTTATCACTTATCGGTTATTTGGGTCGTGTCAATGTCAAATGGTCATTAATTATTTTATTAATGTAGAGAAGGACTAAAAACTTGACAATGAAATTTCATAATAGGTCGACTCATTACTATTAATAAAAAATATTCAAGCCAGTTGGAGACCGGTTCAATTTTTATCTACTGAAATTTTGTAATATTTTTACGGTCACCTATTGTCTAAAAATATTCAAATTAATTAAAAATTAAAAACCCATTAATAACGTCTCAAATTCCTTTTTTTTATTTTTTTTTATTACTATTCTCAAAAAGACATTTTCGTAGTAAAATTTGTTCTTTCGTATTTGAAGTAGTGAAGATTTCATAGAGTTCTCACTTAGTTTTAATACATTTTTGAACAAACTTAATGGGTGTGACATTATTTCCATTCAGCTTTAACAATTTTGACCCATATTATGGATTCTGTCTCTGTCTCTATTCTATTCTGCCTCTATTAAGAAAAGTATGTTTTTGTCAAAGAAATTAAATAATTTCAAAAACTAAGCAAAATCAATATACAAGTCTTAAAAAACATTAAAAGTTGCATAAAGAAAAGCAAGAAAACATGAAGTGTTCCTTAAAAAAACAAGTTTGTGTTATAATTATAACTTATAACCAGTGTAGGCGGTCGAGATTTAGTTACCCCCTCTACCTAGCGATATAACACATTTTTTCTGACTTTTTCAATGTGTAAATTTCTCTTTTTTGAAGTTTCAAAGTATTTTTAGAAAAGAAATTATACTCCCTTCTTATTTACATCTCTTCTTCACTCGTAAAATTGTGCTTTTGTTTAATCTCTATTAGTCTGCAAAAGCTTTTTTTATGCTACAGCCGAGGCTATAGCCCTTTCTAGTTCAGGCAGTATAAGAATTTTTTGTTTTGAGTAAGTTTTAGCATTTTTACTATTTGATACTGAAAAGGTTTATGTCATGTTAATGCCTACTTAATTCAGCAAAAAATTGGTGTATGCGATTTTATTATCCGCCAGTGTACCACTCATGCTGTGATTGCGAGAAAATAAATCCTGACCGCCTAACACTGGTTATAACTTATTTCTGTGACACTCTATACTATACTATAGTGTCACTAGTATGTACTATTTTGAGTCGGTACTCGAAAAATTAATTTCAGGTGTTGACATTTAAAGGCAATTAGTAAACATTATGTAAACTTTTGCTGTATCAATGAATTTTCCCTCCTTTCAGGGAATATAGTGACGCTTTACTCCCTTGCTTTTGACTATGTAATAATCTAGTACTTTATTCCCCCGGGAATAAAATAAATGAAATACCGATTTTTTAACCTTAAAATAAACTGGAATTGAATGAATTGAATCTTTTGAGTGTTTTTTGACATAAACAAACTCCTTAATATTTTTTTAATTTTAAAATTGCAATTGAATGAACTAAACATTTCGACAAATTATTAGACAAAAATTTATCATTTTCTTATGTTATTATTAATTTAGTCTGTTGGTAGAAATGAACATCCTTAACCCCTCGAATGAAAATGCCCTTGGCTCCCTTCGGTCATTACTTTCATTATCGGCATTAAAGTAGTTGTTTATTCCCTTAATACATAAAAAACTACTACATTATAATTTATTTTTGGAAGACATGTCAATCAGCCTGTATTTTGTTAATAATACATAATATTCTTCAAATCATTGGAAATAATATACTATTCAACGAGTGAAAAACCATTTCCACGAAGATGAAATTTACTATACGAGCCGCAGGCGAGTAAAATGGAAATTTCTAATGAGTTTATACTTTTTCTAATCTTAATCTTTCTATTTATTATTATTATTTAATTTTCTCCAGTTAATGATTGAATTGAATAACTATCTCAACTGAAGACGGTTGAGAAAAGTACAAATTCTTTAACAGGATTAGAAAAAAAAATTATTAGAGAACATTTTTTTCTGGAAATGGGCATTTTGGGCCCTACTTACGTGGTGTTCTCGTGTCCCTTTGCAAGATGAGCCTATCCCTGCTCCCCGAACTCAAAACATCCCCATTCCAGGCCAACGCCCCCACCCTCGCCGAATGTCCTTGCAATTTATTCACTTGTTTATTGACGGCTACGTCCCATACTGTAACATAACCGTGATGTGTTCCCACTGCCACTAGATGTCCTCTTTCACTCCACGCCACCGACGTCACGACGTTACCGTCGGCCGATAAATCGCAAAGTCTCGTCACTTGACTAGTACATGCCGACCATAAATAAACACAACTACCGAGACCGACACTAAGGACATTTTGTACGGACCAATCGACTAGATTTAAATAGAAATCGTCCTGGAGTTCGGGGGCATCGAGGACTTTGAAAGGGATCCGAGAGATTTTTCGTGTGGCCTTGTGAGGCGATCGCAGCAAGCGTTGACTGCTCACGCTGAGGGGCGACATCGAGTAGGGGCTCGACTGGAATTTGTTTATCGGCGTTTTCTCCATCTGGAATTTGAGGGAAAATCAAAAATTACTCCCGTGAAACATACAATTTTTTTACTGCCAAATCGGTAGTAAAAAAGTATGATTTCTTGACTTAAAATTATAAATTCTGGTTGGGCAATAAACAGTGTCAACAGTGTTATCAGTAAACAACGATGGCCTACTTTTACAGTAATTATGATTATGAATCGGAACATAATAGGTCCACCTTTTTTTTTAATTCAAACAATAGAAACACAACAAGGTGACACTTTTTACAAATAAACATCCCAAAAAATAAATTTTAATGCACCACGAAACAACTTATGTAAAAATATACAGGATGTTACAATTTTCAATTCAAATTTCATGTAGGGAATAATGGAACAGTAAGAAACATATTTGTTGATTAAAATCACTGATAAATTTCAATTACTATTGTCTCTTGATTTATTTCATTAATGATTCATACTGGGCTAATAATTTCAATGTTTCCGGCCTACTACGAGCATAAAAAAATTAATTTTAGGACAAACACCAAAAAAATTAATGAACATTAAAAACAGGGTTTTACAGAAAAGAAAAACAAATGAAAGTCAATTATTTTAGTCTAGACCATTTTTGTGTTCATTTTTTGGTATTTGAAATCCTTTAGTGTTACAAGTATAAAATATTATAATGGTTTTAGTCATTAAAAACAAAGTCTAAACTGGGACACCCTGTAATTTGTCACAGCCTACTAGACTGTCATTTTTCTGTTACATGTGGCTAATCAAAAATTTAATTATTTATTCCCTCTTCCCAATAAATTCCAATCACGTGAACCGGCAAATCAGAAATGTTTCATTACGGTCCACGTGACTCGCATGTCAATTTTTTGACATTATGATTATTGAATTGCTTTTTTGTGACAAAGTGTCTAACATCCCATTATTCTTCGCTGAAAAAGCTAATGACCTGAAATTATGTTACAAAGTTGGCAATTTTGAAAATGTCAGCTGAATAAAATAGCAAAATGTTGAAAATGAGAGTAGATGCTTCCGTTTTGTGTCACGTTTCTGAAAAATCATCGAAAAAAAATTTCGACTGGCGTACGCGTATCACATTCGCTACCATATTTAGCAGATAACACGTTTAAATATTCATTTTTTGCGACGCTATAAATATAATCGGAAATGTAGTCGCACGAATCCTTAAAGGAAAAGTCATTTCCGTTTTCATTTTCGGCCGTTATCATTTCAACAGTCAATTTTTTACAACTTCCGCTTAAGTAATAAAATTTTTCGAAAATGTTTACAAATTTCGTCAGTTATCAAACCACAAACACTGTCAAGTGTAATCGATCTGAATTTTTGTATCATCCAATGACATAGCAATGTGATTATTTAACATATTTTATTACACACTTTGCATTATTATGCAATGAATTGCATACCTGCACAAAGTTCAATTTTATGAATTAGTCTCGACGGAAAAGCGATTTGAAAAAATTACTTCTCATTTGCCTAATGCTAGAGGGAAAGTTTTTAGAGTTATTATCACCAGAAAGCAGACATCATGAACGATTATTGACAGGCATTAGCTAATTATCGTCTGCTTTGCTAGTAAGTGATAATTATAGAAAACTACAAGTCGAAGGAAACAACTATTAGTACAAAAATGCAGACGCCTTCGGGACGATAAGATAAGAACCTCAAATAATGACTCAAAAATTAAACAAGTGCATTAAGAAATAGCAGAAAAACCAATAAAATAAAATAAATCGGCTCAAATAAACAAAGTCACGTCTTTGCTTGACTCATCCATGTGATTGCCATGGTAATATAGACTTATAAAAAGCTTCAAGGGTGGCGTTTCCACTTTTTGACACTCGATTTGCGTAACTAATTTTTGAGAAAAACTTTTCTTTTTCCTACCTTTGAGGGGGTCCCGTATCTGAACAAATTCCTGTTCTTGACGGGGGTGAGCACTTGTCTTTCGTCACACTGCGACTTGACATCTTCGGTATTTTCCCCGAAAAGTTCATTTCTGAGGAGAATGTTATAAACAGAACTGTCTCTGGTGTTCTCCCCTGTCTCCCTAGTCTTTTTCCCAGTTTGTGAGTTTTTATTGGTGTCAGGCAGGGTGGCGAAACTCGTATCCCAATTATTCCCCGCCCGGCAGGGAATAAACCTGTCGCAATTCGCCGAAGTCCTCGGTTCCTGATACGTCTTCGCCCCAAATAAGTCTTTTGAAACGGAGAGTTTGAGTTGATGGAAAATCCGGTCGTCGATATTTTCAAACGACATGTCGACTCTACAACACATGCACGATTAATACCCGAGTTCAAATGTCAGGCGTTATCGAGCACAAGGGGGTCCCAAAACTCACATTTACATGACGTACAGACTTTCAATGAAGTGAGGAGAGTTAGAAAAACTGTCAGTAAGCAAAATAATTAACATTCTCCCCACTATTCTGGACCTTTAAATCGAGATTTAAACCACAACACAATATGGCAACAGCCATATCGAATTTTACTGGCCGTTGACAAGGCTACCAACGTGAAGCGTGTTTGTTACTAAATTATAAAGCTGCGTTTACACGATTCAAAAGAACCACCAACGTAAAATTGACGTAATGCGCAACATTACGGGGATTGGAGGCGCAAAAATGAATGAATCACCAACAATCTGACTTGCAAATTTTCGAAAAAATTGATCACGTGACTTTTATTATGATCGGTTTACGTAACACAAGTCGACTTGATTAATTATCAAAATAGGTTGTCAATGTCACATTTTCTAACCTCATTTCAAAAGAAAACTATTTTTATTTACACTGTGTAAGTAGGTAAATAAGATAAAACAATCTTAAAATAAGGTGGTTCCGGATGATTTACTTAAGTACTTTATCGCTTTTTTTGTTTTTCCATTCTATGCACGTGTCTAACGAATTTTCTAATGTCTCTCCGAATTTTTTTATTAGGGAAAAGAAAATTTTCCACATTTCCCAGTAAGATAATGAGGCCGAATAAAAATCAAGATTACGATGTAAGTCACTTTTTTGTATAATTGCCCCTAATAATTCTTTTCAGGCTTGTATTGTGGCTTTAAATAAGTTACAAACTAACGCGCAATATATTAAAGCAAAAACAGTGACGAATAATCACAACGGAGATCAACTTACTCAAGTAAAAAAATATCTCGCAAGGTAATTGACTACTAAAAAACGCCAAATTTCGCGTTCCACTTGTTACTGAGAAAGTTATCTAAAGTAGTAAAATATTTATTTATCCAAATTGCATTTTGCAATCAAGGGCTGGGCTATCTCTGGAAAATCTGGACGACTTATCGGTCATACATGTCGCTGGGACGAAAGGCAAAGGCACCACATGTGCCTTCTCTGAACGCATTTTGCGGGAACACGGCTACAAAACAGGCTTTTTCTCATCGCCCCATTTGATTGAAGTCAGAGAAAGGATCAGGATAAACGGCAAACCGATCTCAAAACCCGACTTTGTGAAGTCATTCTGGAGAATTTACAACGCCCTAGACCATAAAAAGGTCTTTACGTCCCTTGACAAGCCCTTTAACTCATTTCTAATTACAGAATGACGAGCATGACATGCCCCTCTTCTTCCGGTTCTTGACGATAATGGCATTCAGCGTTTTCCTGGAAAGCAAAGTCGACGTTGCGATTATCGAAGTCGGAATTGGGGGCGAATACGACTGCACTAATGTCCTCAGGTTCGAGACCCGTCAGAAAAATTAGTTTTTATGTTCTTATTGAAGGAAAGTCCCTGTTGTCGGTATTACATCGCTCGGTATAGACCACGTGAGTTTACTAGGGTCGACGATTGAGTCAATAGCGTGGAATAAAGCCGGGATTATGAAAGAAAATTGCAGGGCCTTCACTGTACCCCAATGTGGGACCGCGATGGCAGTGTTACAAGAACGCAGTATTGAAAAAAAAGTATAACAACCCTCGAATTCAATTTTCTCCTCAATTGTGCGATTTTTAGTGTCAACTTGAAATTGTCGATAATTTACAGTTCAAATTCCCACCAAATAAATCCTCACACCCGCCACATATTTTAAATTTAAACGCCAGTCTTGCCGTCGCTCTTTGTAACGCATGGTTATCACAAAGTAACTCCCCTTATCACAATCCAAAATACTCACATTGTTTTACAGGAAATAACAATAATCTAGGGTCTGTTATGTCAAAAGAAATCACAGAAAAGGCCCTATTTAGTACCACCTGGCCTGGCCGGTTTCATGTCAAACACGACAGGAACATATCGTGAGTCTCGTCCGAAATGACTTAAGTCACTTGAATCAGTTTTTAGGTTTTACCTAGATGGCGCACACACACTTGAAAGCATCACTATTTGTTCCAATTGGTTCAAAGACATTACCAAAAGTTCGAAAAAGAAGAAAGCTTTAATGTTTAATGTTACTGGTGATAGGTGCGCTGAAAACTTACTAAAACAGTTGCAAACTTGTCACTTTGATGCTGTTTTGTTTGTTAGTAATAGTGCGACAAGGTGTAGGCCTGGTAAGTCACGTGGAGTACTAACTTGGGTTTGATTGGCCAGTTCTAGATAACAGTAATCACGCTTCTTCAGATGAGTTGTTGGAGAAGTGTCATCAACATAAAAAGCTTTGGTTAAAGTTGGAAGAAGAAAATTTGAGGACAAACCAGATTTGTAAAGCTTTTTTGACAGTTGATGAAGCTTTGGATTTTCTGATAAATCAGGACCAGTTTGATTTGTTAATCACAGGTTCCATCCACTTGGTTGGTAGCGTTTTAAGTTTAATCGATCCTAATTTAAACGATTAGGGAAAATTCTAGCAAGATATATGTTTATCTTACTTGTTTAAACAACTCAATTAATAAGAAAACACTGATAACATTTTTCTTTATTATCTTTAAAAAAATATGTATACAGAGATCACTTCCAAGGATTGTAAATATCGTTTAGTCTAGTGAATTACTGTTTTTAATTACAATAAAAACATACACTTTCTCTTGTGTCTTAATTGATAACAAAAACTTAACTACTAAAGACTAGAAAAATTCAATTCTTTTTCACTTTTCCTGTTTGTTACATCAAACTCAACTTCGGATTCTATTTCATTTTCGGATAATGAAAGAGAACCGCCGGCTCTTCTCATATGTAGAAGTTTATCAATTTTATTCTAGAAAAAACAGGAGTGAGGAAAGGACAGCCAAAAAACTGACACATAAAAACAAGAAAGAAAGCGAAACAAGCACAAAAACAAAATATTACCACATCCAATTAAAAATTGGCCGTGCTAGAATATCCATGCCAACTTAGTTGCCGTTGGAGCTGGGAAAAAGTTAATAAAGAAAACAAAATAGAAAGAGCATGCAAAATAATTAGAACATGCACTAGACTTTAAACTAAAAAAACTTACATCCATTAGACACACAGTAGGTTCAGAGGCGTAACCGTCTTGACCATCTTCATACTCATCACCTGAAGAACTCGAACTCGATGACTCTTCGTAAGGTCTAAAATGACTCATTTGAAATTTATTACAATTAAAACAAAAATTCTTACCTTGAGACTTTACAAACCATTTGTGCTAAATCAGTGAAAGTATAATCGGACAAAGTATGTTCAGTTTCTGGTTTATTGGTAACAGTTGGCGCTTTAAAAATGGGTAAACTACCCGATTTTAATTTTTCCTCAAAGTAAGTTTTGCCATGTTGGTAACCGACTTCCCGAATTTCATCGAAACTTCCGAATTGTAACGTTTTGTACTTATCGATAGGCGGACGGACGTACTCACAATAATCACTGTTTTTCACTTCCTTTTGAATCAAAATTTTACAATTTTTCGTAGGTAGCAATTATTAACTTACTTCTAACTGTCTTACACAACTGACATAGGCCAGCCTTGATTGAATATCGGGTAAATTAGGTACTTTAACAGGATCAGTGAACGGATTCCATCGTTTCCACAACAGCCACCACCCCGATAAATCATCCCCGTAATTGGTCAAATCCTGATCGTCCACACTTCCCACATCAATCGCGATTATATGATTGGCTCCCAAACTCCGCATGACGTCAGCTAAGTATATCTGATTAGTGGCACGAATCACACTCAATTTTTCTACTACAAACTATAAAACAACTAAAATTCATACCTACCTGACCAACAGAAAACCCTATCTGTAAGCGTAACAAATTTTTACCTGGTACATTGTTGACGTAACACCCATCAGCTAACAAATGCCCATCTAAAGGATCACAAAGTGGCGGAAAAATGCCAACAATTGACATACTGGCCCTCACATATCTCCACAAATGACCTGCCAATTAATCGAATTTTAAAAATTTATGCCATTTTCGACGAGTCGACGACTCCTCTTCAACGAACAAAAGAAAAAATAACAGATGAGAAGCATGGAGAAAAACAAAACAAGTGATTCGGTTAATTTCCCTACTACACACCACCGCGTATTGTGATTGGTTTACCTTGATTTTGTGTGTGTTACCGAACCGAGCCAGTGTACTTACCGGTTACAGAAGGCATGCAAACGACTTGAGTTAGTGCTTTGGGGGTTTTACCTGGAAGATTGTTAGTGTAGCCTCCATCTAGCAGAAGGTGGCCATCGACAGGATCACACAGAGGTGGCATGAATCCAGATAGAGACATAGAGGCACGAACGTACCGCCACAGAGAGCCTACGGAAATGCGCTCACTAAACTACATGCCTTATATACAATGTACCTTTCGTTAGTTTACTGTCACAGACATATAAACAAACAAAAAAGCATCGGAAGCGGACGGAGTGATGTGAGTTTTTTCGAACGACCATTTACTTATCATGCAAACAAATGAAAGTCGCGTTAAAATGGTGAGCTGGTCAACTCATCTCCATTGTTTATTTTTTTATCACCTTCATTAGCTAACTATTCACCATTTTAACAATCAGCGATGAAAAAAAAAAACAAAAATCAAGCGAATTTTACAGACTTACGTCTAATTTCATATACATACCCCTATACACTTGTCCGAATTTCTCAAAAAAATCTGACATGTTTCGAGTGCAAACATATAGGTTAACCAATCACAATTTACACATTCATCTCACACACAAAAGGTTATGCAACCGAAACAAAATGAGAAAAAAAAGAAACTAATGAAGGTGCTAAATGTCCGTAATGAATAATAGACAAACAAAAGACGAACGACTATACATGATTCGGCCACTCACCGTGCGAATGTAGCCTCATACATGAAGCGGTTATATCGGTTGTAACCGTAAAATACGGTAACCATAAATCCTCAATGTACGTATCACCAAATGTGCCTTTGATTGTTTGGTTAAAATCGCGACCGCTGAACATCGACGTCATCGGATAGGTCAAGTCGAGGATCTGACGCCACCATTGGGTCATTTTCTACAAAAATAAACTAAAATCGGTTACAAAAAACAAAGCGTTACAAACCTTGGCCCATTCTCTTGCTTTTTGTGTCATTGTGGTAATGTTCCTCTCACGACACCACAGAGCCCCCATGAAGGCCCCAATACTGACCCCACCTACCAAGTCAATCGGGATTCCGGCCTCTTGGATTGCTTTGATCATTCCGACATGCGCAGAACCTCTAGCACCGCCTCCTCCCAAAACCAAACCGACTGATTTGCCGGTTAACCAACGAGCTAACCGGGAAAAGTCGGAGTGAATGTTCGGCTCCGACTGACATACTTTCGAGTACAGTTCGTTCTAAAATATTAAGAGCATAGAACAATGTTAATTATTTAACAAATAAATTTCTAATCAAAGTAGAGGTGGGGTAAAAGCCAAAAGTACACACAGTGTTGCCAGGTGTGGTGAAATTTCACCAGATCTGGTGATTTTCATGTTAGCCTGCTGATTTGGTACAAACTTTTGTAAAAATGCTGGAAATGAAAAAAACTGTTTTTCCAGCATTTTCCACGTTTTCAACCAGCAACTTGATTATTCCGTCAATTTTTTTTCAAAAAAGTTGAAAAACCACCAAATTATTTAAAAATAGTTCTGTTTGTTTTTTAACAAGATTTTACTAGACAGGATCAAAAATGACTATTTTTATCTATTTCCAAAATTTCGTTAAAAACAATTCAACAAAAAACGACGTTATTTTTGCCCTTTTCACTAGAAAAAACGTGCTTAAACAAGTGTTTAGTTGTTGAGATAAAGGCAAGGAAAATTTTAAAAATTTCATTGAAGCAGGCAAAAAAATTACAAAATTAAATCAATCAATCGAGCTTGTTACGCTCGACTTACTTCGTTTTTGAACTAAAGGCTTATTTATTTTGCAAAATCTAGTCCGAACACGCTTAAAAATCACAAAAACAATTAATACTGATGTTATTAAGACAAAAATAAGCGGAGAAAACACAAAATTTGGCCGAAAATGCTTTTACGTACGTTTTTATACTAAAATCTCAGGTTTTTTGCTAAATTTTGCTAAAACAAACTTAATAATCAAGAAATTAATTGTAAAATTACAATAATTTTGTATTTTTCAAGCGTTTTAAATTGTTTTTCAGCTAGAAACGCAATTCTTTCACAACATTTTGTTGAAAAAAAAACCAAAACAGAATGTCATTTTTTCTTTTTTTTTTTTCAAGAGTTTAAACAGATTTTTGAACGTTTTTTTTTTTTTTGTTTTTTTGTGAGATTTTGCCATACAAATCGTAATCTGGTAGAAATTAGCAGTTTTCAATTCGAATCTAGTGAATTTTATGTTTTTGATCTGGCAACACACCTGGGCGAAGCTCAGAGGAGAGAGCACACAAAGCAGTGGCGGACCAAAGTAATTTTGTTAAATGAAATTGGGGTCCGTAACACTAATTCCATTTACAGTTTTTTTTTTCTTTTACATTTATAGCCGCTTACAGCAGAATTAAGACTTACTTACCATTTGGTAAAACATAATATTCGGTGTTTAAAATGAGCAAGTGTCATTTTAAAAATCGTAAGAAAACAACACAAATTTACTTTAATAATGATTTTAGTAATTTTTGTTTATCGCAAAGCAAAGTGTGTGAATATGTGATTTTTGAAAAGTAAGTACTGTTGACGCGATATAAATTGGCAAAATCTAGTGCATGCCCACATGTGTACTTTGGGCTTCTATCCCACTCTAACTTGGATATCAAAAAATCTATTGGCAACAATAAAATTGTGACGTTTATATTTGGTAGTCAGTGTCGCCAAATCAAGATTGGTAGCCTACTTGAATCACAAAATCACAATACTGATTAAGTTACTTTCGATTTGTCAGTGTTCCCAACTCAATTTTTAAGTCACAGACCACTTTGACCAAAAATTTAAAGTTCTAGTATTACTTCGTTAAATAAGAGACAAATTAATTTTTGTCGAAAAAAGTCACTCACTATCCTATATAGGGATTTCCTTGAAAACATCCTATTAGGACTCAAAATGTGGTGATGCCACGACACCCAACTCCTCATATTGATCCAAGCGGCTGTATTATGGGGCCTTCCACCCTCGCGATGCAACAAAACCAATTCTTTTTGTGTTCTCATTGCCAATCTTTCGACTTCTTTCTCAACTTTGCCAATACTTGGGTGATTCTCCCCCAAACCGACAATCAGAATGCAATCAGCTTGCCGAATACATCTCTGTGTCCATGTACTAACTGTCAAATCGCATTGGTACAGCGAGATTTTATGTTGGTCCTCCTGTTGAGCCAACCAGGATGTTAGTCGATACTCATTATTCGGATCCATAATACTCGGACCCAAAAGTTTCCGAATTACATCGGAAGTCAGTTTTAAAGTTGGTCCAATGGCACATAAACAGTGATACAATTCATAAGTAAACGCTGTGAGAGGTACATCATCAGAGGCGGCAACGATTGCAACAGTTGAAAAATTCAGTTGCGAAGGTCGACTATCAATCGCTGAACTGCTAGGTGCATGCACATTAATCGTCGGTTTTTTCCACGAACCTGAATAAAACAACTGTAGATGGCGCTAATTACAAATTGTCAATTTACCTAAAATCCGGTGCCCCAATAAATTGATCAGTCTTGTAACAACAATAGGGTATTTCAATTTAATCGCATTAAACAACCCTTCGGGTAATTTAGCCAACTCGGAGTCTCGAACGGCTATAACCGTCGTACTTCGTTTCGTGTGAGTTACCATTTCGACTACTCCAATCAAGTCGCCTTTACCATACTCCCCCACTAACTCCTTTTTACCATTCTTGTGGGTTATAACCGATCGCAGACGCCCCGACAAGACAATATAAGTCGAATCGCTTTCGTCATCTTGCCTGTAGAGGGCACGACCCGACTCCATGAATAACCAATCAAGAGCGAAATCGACTTGACGTACGAAGGGCGAAAGACGCTGAACGACCGAATGTGCGACGTAAAGTACTATATTGGGGTGATCTTTCATCATACTACAAAAGAAAATGAGATACAATTAAAGGTGGTAAGGTAGAAACCTGTAAAATGTGTTTTTCGATAATAGAGCGATACGGCTGAAGTGTTTGGCCCGAATTGTGAAAAAACTAGGCTCGCCGGTTAGTACAGCGAGACCGCCGACGAATTCACCGTGATAGGCTGTGAACATATGAACCTCATCTTCACTTTCTGTCATTTTTTGCGAAACAATCAAAGCACCCGAAATGACATAACATAAAGCAACGTCCTGTAAAATGTTAATTAAAATTAACGTAAATGAAATTGATTTGTCCCACTTTATTTGAATCCTCTTGCATGAGATAAGTACCGGCTGCTATTTCTTTCATTTCGACGTTTCCCTTCAACATAGTGTCATCTTCAAGACCCAACTCTTTGATAAAAGCCTCAGTTGCGATTTCGATTAGAGTATCCTCGTCTACATTATCGACCGAGTGTCTTTTTCTTTGTAAAAGTGCAACGTCAGGTGTCTGAAATTGATTTTATCGGCCGGTAATTTTTCGATTTTTTACTATTACCATGCCGTAAGTGGCCATTTCGGCATCGCTGACCATATCCGGCGTCTGTGGGGAGAAAGACTTCGACTCAAGACTCGATTTACTCCTCCTGTGCCCCGGCACAGGTATCGGTTGCGTTGCATCCATCGAACTAAACGACCCATCTTTAAATTCTTCCCGTTTTTTCTTCATCGGTGAACCCCCGACTAGAGGATTTTTACTATTCCTACTCTTTGGTCCCTGTTTGACTAGTTCGGCGCTCAGACCGAGATACTGATGCAATGCTGTAAACGTGACGCGTTGCAAACGCACCATAATGACTTGAATTACGCGAATAAAAATATCAGGATATTCGTGGAAGATCTCTTGAAAAGCGATCATTGGCAGTTTGACCACAGTCGAGGCTTCGATCGCCTTCGCCGATACGGTTTTGTACGGGTTGGTGTTGCCCTGAAACGAGGCGATGCCGAGCCGGAATTTCGAGGTGGAAAAAACTTACGGTCAGAACATCGGTGAAACTGAGGAGGGAGGTTACGGATTCGCCGGGTTTTACGATCTTGAGGGAGACGTTCGTGTTGTCAGCCGACGCAATGAAGACATTGAGCTTGCCGCTTTGGACGATGTACACGTTTTCGTCGGGATCGCCTATTTAAAATTATACAAAAAGAAATTCTTAAATAAATAAAATGAAAGACGAAGCTAAAAGACAAACTAAAACATATATTTTAACTTAAAAATATCGTTTTTAAAGGCAAATTACTCGTAAGACGTGTGAGTGTAAAAGTAAAATATGATAAAAAAATTCATAGTGCTAGATACTGTGATTTTTATTCGTTTAATTTTTACAAATACGACTCATCTCTAAAATTAAAAGCAATTAATTAATAATAGTAAAGATAAAGGGTGTCCAAACGGGAGATGTAATTTTAATTTCTCAAAAAAAACCCAATTTTTTTATTAAAGAATATATTTTTATTTCAAAATAAAGTTTGAACATTGCCATTAAACATGGAACATCTGTCAAATGTTTGTCTCTGCTTCTTTGGCAGGAAAACATTCTTTTACAGAAGTTTTTGACATTTTCATATAAAGAACAAAAAACAAAAAAAAGAAAAAAGTCAAATCTTAATTATTTTGAGAACTTCACCGCCCTTCCCGTTCTACTTTCGTAATATTTTTAAAAAAGCCACAGTAATTACTAAAAAAACATGCTAAAACTTCCACAAAAATGCAAAAATTATGTTTCTGCTGAAAATAATAAAACACTCGAAAAATTAAAAAATTATGACATTTTCAAACAGTTGCGTGTTTTGAAATTTCAATCTGTAATGTTATTGCTTTTCTGACTAAAAAACCTGCTAAAACTATATAAAAATGCAAAAATTATGTTGTTTTCAAATTAGATGGGAAGTATGTTTGGTCGGTTTTGACGTAATTTTGCAAATGAATTGCGTTTTTGACTAAAAATGTGCTAAAACGTCCGAAAAAGTCAAAAATTAGGTAATTTTCGATCTAATTGAATGGTCTTTGGGATTTATCTTTGACGTTATTTTACAAATAGATTGGTGTTTCAGGCTAATTCGCAAATGACAAGAACCGTTCAAGTAATTTGGTTCCAAATGCAATTTTAATAATTTTTGTTATTATTTTTTAATGTAATTCAAATTTAGGCTGATGGTAATTACTTCTCAAAAGAAATTATAGATTTTTTACAATTGGGGAAGCAACTTTATTACCTTCAATCATAAAATAAAAACTAGCAACTAAAAGTTGGATTAAGAGTTCTTGTTTATTGTTATGTAAATTTTTGTTGTTATTATAAAATTATAAAAAAATGTTTTTCACACTTATTTGGGTTATTTCTATTTAAAAAAAAAGAACTTAGGTATTTTGTAGATACTGTGTTTTACACTGGGAACAAGAATTTTGCCCTATAATTACTGTTTTTGAGAAAACAATTTTGTTTATTAATTTTAAACAAATAATTACTAATAAGCATTTTAAATGAATGTAAGCGTGAAAATAAAGTATGCAAAAATTCTTTTTTTTTAATTACTGGGTACTGTGTTTTTGCTTGGAACAGCCGAATTGTGTACTCTGAATATCTGATTTTTTTTAAGTCTCGTCCAATTCTTCTAAAATAAATTACAAAATTAGTCTCATCACCAATAAAGAGCCTTATTTCAGGGTTTCTAGAGTGTCTATGGGACAAAGTGAGATTCTTTTTAATAGAACAATAAATTCTAACAGTTTGATAGGAACTTTTTTAAGTTAAACCATTATTCATTTTTTGCAAGAATGGAGAAACCTTGTATAGTAAAACCACTTTTTAATTAGTTATTCACATTTACATAGTAATCACGGAGCTATGAGTGTAATTAATCACATTTGAATGAGTTTGCATTATTTTAAATCGCAATTACGCCTTTACCTATCTTGAATAAATGTTGCCCGGCATCGACATTGATAATTTCCGTGTGTTTGCACAACTTGAGGAAAATCGGCTTCTCAAAATGCCCAAAAACCCTAATACTTTGAAGCATGTACAAGGCATCTGGGGGCATCCTGTCGTCGCTCAACATTTCCTCTTGTAAATATTCAAGAGGCGGTTCCAGAACCTAAACAATCATTTCATACATTCCTAGAAATTATCACGTGTCCTTGCGATAAGCTTTCACACTTGTGTAACGCTCAGGCCTGGTTACATGAATTAAATACCTTCAATTGTTCCGTATCATTTTCCTTTTTTAATTGTAAAATCCTTCTCGCGAATTTCATCACCATTTTTCTCTTCCTACCCTGGCCGGAGTTTCGCACTTGGCCTGATATGTTTTTGACCTTGCGTAACATTTTGCGGCCGTAAAACAGCGCTTTATCCCGTTTCCTGAACCTTGCACTTGCCTCTTCGGATTTCAATTGTCGTGCAAAAAGAGCTGAAGAAAACAGTTACATTCACATAACAAAACACGAAGCAGTACCTTTTCGGTGGCATTTTCGAATACAAAAATACGTTATTGAGATAATCGTCGCGAAGATTCCGGCCAGCAATAGGGGCAACACCTGGAAGCCCCACTGAAACCCAAACATGCATACAGCGGCGTAATTACGCAGAAATTGGTTAAAATTCCAGTTTTCTTACCTGGAACGTCTCTTGGGAAGAAACAGTTGAGAGGACATCACCGAACCAACTGGACTTGAGTGTCTCTCCATTGTTTAAGTTGTATACCGCATTTAACACGTCCATTTTAGTTTGAACATTAACAAAAGTGGACTTTGATGAATTAAAAGTTGATTAAATTCCAAACCTATTTGGATGAATTCACTCACTTGACTGTCAAAGTCAAATCAAATGCCACAAACAAATGCACATCGTCCGAAAAGTGGGAAAAATTGCAGCCGACTGGGCATTCAACCGAAATTTTAAATTTCTTAAACGCACAGTTACCTCATTATTTATTTACCCAGAAACAAACGATCCGTTTTCTAAAAAATTAGAACAATTTTTTTATTGGAATATTGTTTCACCTAAAGTCGCAGTCAATTCATAGTGGCCACTTCCCTGTGTCAATTTGTAAAAATTGAGTTGTGTAAATCCGACTTTAAACATCCAATTGTTTTTTTAGGGAGAGGTGGCGGGCTAGGGGCTGCCAACTTTGCAATAAATTAAATGGCCACTAGGAATTGACCGCGACTTTATAGTTTTAACGATTTCGAATTAAGCAACAATCGAACATTTATGCGTTCAATGGCGACTACTTAATAAAATGTCAATATTTAAAATTAAGTTTATTTTGTTTTTATCTTTTATTGTTACTTTCAATACAAATTACAATAAACCTTGTCGTTTGAGATCTTCGTAAGTTTTTCTGTTAACGACATTCCCTTGGGAATCTTCATACTCTTCCTCTGTTTCAGGTTGCCAACGCTCTGCCTGTTTTTGCACTTTGAGTTTCTCCCAGACTGGAAAACAACACGTAATAAGGTGAGAAATAAACATTTCAAGTTCTTACGTGCTAGGGCGTCCTCAATTTGCGTCACGTTTGCAAAATGCGCGGTATTGGGGATCCCCAAACATCGCATTCCGTGCGCATGTCGCCACTCTGCGAAATGTCTTTGAAACGCTTTTGGTCCTTTATAAACGTAATTTCCGCAAATTTCACAATTGTAACTGATATTCAAACCGTGGAGTTTGTACAACCAATACGGGATAGGCTGTAATAGCAAAAATTATAAAAAACAATTAAAAATTACAAAAATACAATACTTTGCCATCCCAGCCCAAAGGCAAGTTTTTGGGGTTATAGGGAACGTCATCGTCGGCTTCATCAGGACTTTCCTCCTCACTCTCCTCATTTTCACTATCGTCCCTTTCACCATCCGTCCGCGCTTGTTTCCTCTGGACATTTTCTTTAGTTGCGGCGCGTTGGGGGGCCACCAGTTCTGCCAACCTGTAAACTTGCGCCTCCAGACAAGCCAACTCTCTTTGCCTCAGTTGCTCCTTCTCTTTACTCGCTTTTCCTGATTTGTTTTTAGTCATCAAGGATGGGTCTAGTGAGCCTTTACCTTTGGTTGAAAATAAACGCTGGGCACGCTCTTCCAGCGTCCTAAATAAAAAATTATTTTTTTTCTTTGAATGTTTCTAATAATTACCCGCCACATTTTAAGCCAAGGGCCATTAGGGCCGACTTCAACCTGTCCAAACCTAATGAAGCCAATTCCTCCCAACTTGAAAATGCAGATAAGTCCAAATGGGCCCCAACGTTTGCCAAAGCCGACCCTGTCTCTTTCTACAATTAAATAAATTAGTAAAATTATATTTTTAGTTTTTTTTTATAAATTACAGGCCATCCTGGAACTGTCCCATTTTCCCACTGTACCATAACATTATCAACTTCGTTTTGTAAATCTGCATCAATGTCCATCAAAGGTTTGACTCTTTGTACAAACCAAGTTAAATACTCAATCAAACAAAGCAAATATTTGCGATATTCCCCAGTTTTGCGTTCTTTGGGAATATCATAAAGCTGATCAAAAGTGCCCAAATATGTAATATAATCAACTTTTTCAATACCTTTCAAATTGATATATTTTTCATAACATTCATGCAAATCCAGGTATTTTCCATAACCTTCCTCGTCAGTAAATTCAACCAAATCTTAAAAAAACGTAATTAACATAATTGAGGCCACACAAACATTACAAAAACTCACTTGCCATTTCCTCAGTTGGATTTTCACGCGCTTTGGCCAATTCATCAAATTCAACAGACATTGGAATACTTATCTAAAAAAAATATATTATCCAATCACACAATCACTTAAAAAACGTTACCTCATTAGGGTGCTTCCTGTAAAAATCTTTAATCTGCTTGAGACGATTATAAAACTCCTGAAACTCATTAGGACCAGTGAGGGCGGCGACTTCTGCTTTTCTTTGCCCATCTTTGTCCTCATATAATTCAATTAAACGATCTGTAGACGTCATATACTTATCTAGTAGGAATTTAAGGCGGTAATCCGAGTTTATAGCCTCGCGGTACTAAAATAACATTACTTTATAGAGGAGCAAAGCGCCACGAGGCTCAACTCACCGTTGTTTTTTTATGCAAAATTTCTTTAACCATTGCGTCAATGAGACGCTCTTTTTCCTCGTGATAACGCCGTTGCTGCTCCAAAATCGTTTCCATTGCAGCTTTTTCAAGAAAATTGTGCAATATTTTTTATTTACTAGACGCCATCAAATGCCAAATGTCAAAAAAACATCAAACTATCAAACAAGAAAATCACTAAAAACAATCAGAGGTTTTTAAAATCAAATTTAATATTTTTTGTGACACCAAATATGTCCATAATGCAATTTCGTGTAAACAATTGTGGCCAAACGATTTTTAAGAGCTTGGACATGATGAAACAATTAAATTAAGGGGCTTGTTTAGCTACTACTTTTGCGACTTTGCGTTGGTAGCAGTGAGTTTTATCGTGTGTCAGAAGACAGGTATTTTTCTCATTTGCGCCGTAAAAGAAGTGTTGTTGCTGTTAAAACTTGAAAATCGAAATGAGTCGCGACGAGTCCTTCGTTGCTGTGAAGAACACTGCAGAATCCACAGTTCCATCAATCGGGTCCGATGATGAAGATTCTTTCGTCGTTTTGGAGACTTCAAATTCCATCAGTGAAAGTCTGGCTTGTAGCCCCCCTAGAGACGAGATTTTAGCCCCAATTAGGACAAATAAAGTACACGAAATGGAAAATTTAATCAAGATGAAAATATCGCAAATCAACGTTGACCCATTGCCTGAATTACCAGCAGCTGTTGATGCAATTGTACCCTCAGTTGCAAATATTGCAATATCGCCGGATTCGTCATACGAAGAGATTCAGAAGCAAGTGGAAGAATTAATTAAGGAAAATGAAAAGTTGAAGAATATTATTGCACAAAATAATATCAGCATGAAGACACAGTATACTAGGTTTTTGGCCTACAAGGATGAGGTCACCAATGTGATGAAGTCTTACAAAGACAAGTTTAACGAGGCCAAAATGTGCATAGATAAGTGTAAAGAAGAGAATACGAAACTGGTTAGTGACGTCGAAGTTTATATCAATCTGAAAAAACTTCATGAAGAAGAAATTTTGAATTTAAAACTGAAGATTAAGGAATTGGAAAGTTTGACAAACGGGCCAAATTTACAACTTGTTGACACAGGAAAAGTAGCAATGATGAAAGAATTAGAATTGAAGCAGGAAGAAATTGAAAGACTGACGCAAAAATTGGAAAAAGTACCGAAATATGAAGAGGAATTACAAATCAAGCAGCAACAAATTGACGACTTTAAATTGGACGTCCTCGCTGCGAAAAATCGCGAAAGCGACTTAATTGACGAAATTCAATCACTGAAGATTACAACCACACACCTCCAATCAAAATTGGACAATGTACCAAAAGAAAAGGAGAAACTCGTGCAATCAGCAACCTTTGTTCAAACCTACGAACAACTCCTCAAATTAAAAGAAACCGAGATTCTGAAACTGAAGGAAGAACAACAAAGAACCGCTTTTGTCGAATCCACCCTCAGTGACGAAATTAAGAACTTAAAATCGCAACTGAAGGAACTTCAAGACAAGTACAACCCGCGTTTATCTGAAGATTACATCCATTCACGGGCCCAATTGAGCGTTGCCCAAAGGACGATCACAGCATTAGAACAGGAAAGAGAACAGAAGATTAAAGAAATGGAAGATATGCGTAAACTTCTTCAAGACAATGCCAGTGCAAACGACGAAATGTTCGCATTGAAGGAACAAATCGAGCAGTATAAGAATGACTTTGAAGCAGAGAAGAAGAGCAAACTTGCGATGAAACAAGAGAAGGATCAGATCGCTGAAGATTTGCAGAATTTGCAAACGAGAAATAAACAGTTGCAGAATGAGGTCGAGAGGTTGAGAGCGAGGAATGAGCCGCCGAGGGCTGAGGGGTACCAATGCCCCAAATGCTCCTTTGGGTTCAGCAATTATCAATCGCTGGAAAATCATGTTCATAGGTGCCTAGATTTAGACGGTTTTCCCTAAATATATTCTCTGACTAGTATTTGTTATCGTTCTTACACAAATATTTAAAGGAATTAAGATTAACAAGGCCATCATAATTAGGAAATGTGTTATTTTGATTAGTTTATTTTTCTTCATTTACAACAATAAAAACGAGTTAATTAAGTTTATTTTATTCTTATCTAAATACCCCAAGATTTTTATAAAATAAAAGATTTTCTTGGTTCTAAATTTGGCAATAGGGCTCGCAATTAATATTTTGGCAGATAGAAGTCACGAGGAATACCTAAAAGGTTTCCAAGAAATAAATCTATTTTTGTCTATCACGTAAATGAGTCATCATTGAATTGTTATGAATCATCATGTTATTGCGATTTTTGGGGTACTTGGGATGAATGAAAGGTGGTGTACAGTGCATAAAGATATATTTAAGTCTTCATGTACAAGCAATATTACATAATGATCCGTATAATAATAACCCTACAGTTTCGTGGGAGTTAGCGATCCCCACTGAGTGCTTGTGCCGGACTTTGGCCCAGACGTGAGGCATACAAACACTGCGCTTACACATGTAAGAAAAAGAAAGTAAATATTCGAATAGAGAACAAATTATTCACAAGTTAACACTTGTCCCTATCGCCAATCCCTCGACACCATTGCGCAACTACTACATTATACATAGTGTTATGTTATAATTATATATTCTAACTTCAGCTCGACAATCGGCTTGTTTTTTGGAGCCACTAGTGAAGCTGTATCATTCATGATCCAAATTCGGCTACAAAAGATAATCAAGTAAAACAGTTTATTTCATAAACTATAAGCAGTTAAAAACCAAATAATGGGACATGCAAACAACATACTACAATTAGAATAATGATCTGAATAGGTTTTTTTTCCTTATATACACCGAATGCAGGCAAGGGGGCTCGTGGCCTGTATAATGGGCCTCCTAAACCAGACACTTGCACATGTGTGTGTACTTCAAGAGAGATACCATAAACAAAAACTAGTACTAGGTTCTACTGTAAAACTTGTATCCCAAAGATCACAAAGATGTAAGCTAAATTTCGCACGATGGACTTTGTCAAAAATGCTTATAGTTCAGTTTGGGTCATAGTCAGTGATTACTGGTTCCACTTCGACATTCCCGCCCAACCCTACAAAAATAACCCCAAACACAATTAATACACCAACTCAAAACCTCAACAACAATCCACTCACGTGTTGCGATTTCTCTTGTATATCATTCAAATTCGGTCGGCTACCGTCCCAAGACAAATCTTTCAATTCCACGGGTATGAAATCGGTTGGAGGCCGCCCTATCGGCTGCTGTTGCAACAGGTAGGGCATTGGTCCGTTCGAGAAATTGTGGGGGTTCTCCAAAGGCATCGCAGCCTAAAAAATACCAATGAAAATTATTTGTACGGTTATGTCAAATTCATTTTTTTTTCACTCCATAAGAAATTAAAATACTCACCGGAAACTGATCAACATACTGCGGCAATTCCTCGGAATACACCTGTTGTGCTCTACCCACTCCATACTCATTATTTGGCCACCTTTTCTCATTTCCGTACATCCAACACCCGTCCATATTCGGATACTTCCTCCTTTCCGTCCCAATGGGTTGCGGCTGCTTCCTATCCTCACAATACTCCCCTTGCATCCCCGGCAAATTCGGCGACATATTCGGCGAGTGATTCACCATCCCTAAATCGGGTCCATTTTCCAAAACCTCACTCCCCGTAACCCTCGCCAATGTCTGCAATGTCATCCCCGTCGCCATTCCGCTAATCAACTCGCTCTGTTGTTGCGTGAACGGCTGCTGCATCTGCATGAGAGGCCATCGCGACCTATGGTACGAATCCACTCCTTTATTTCCCGAATAGAGGGCGTTGTTATTCGGGATAAATCCGTTATACATTTGGGGTTGTTTAGGCATGGCATTGTAGACGGTGCTCGAAAAGTCGGGCGCTTTGGGATTGAGACGCGAGACGCTTGCTAGAGGCATATTAGGTTGGGGGTAATTGAGGTTTTTCGGATAGGATTGTAACAGTTGAGTGTCGTTGAGCATGTGGGGAATGTTGCCCGGTTTAAAGAATTCGGAGTAGAAGTTGTCGTTTTGAGAGGTCGGCTGGGGGCGAATGTTGCTCCCGATTGGGGGGAGGGGTTGAGTTTTGGCCGGTTCGGGATACACTTGAAATGAGGAACTGGCCGAGATGTTTGGAGGTGTTGTACTGTTGCTACTAGTTTTAGAGGAAACGGGAGAACAGACTGTTCCTCCACGATATCCCGGAGCTTTAGACACGTCCACTATTTGAGGAGGATCCTGATCGATGAATTTTGTTGGGATTACGTTTTGTGTGTTGGTACCACTCGCAACTGACGAATAATTATTCTTCTGAGATTCGTGTTCGCGCCTCCACATCGGCTGATCTGACGTAAATAACGAATATTGTGATGGCGTTTGCAAACCCTCATCTTGTATGTTGTGAGTCAATGGTGTTGTACTTCTCGCCGCTTCTGAAACCGGAACTGTGACATTACTTGGAGGTGCATTTCCAAAAATTTGTCCTTTTCCCGGACTTTGATAGTGTTGCATATTCGGCGGTGCCGAAGCTGTCGGAGTTGGCCGATTATGTTTGGGTGAGGTTACGGTGTTGGTAGAACTGTGAGGTATCGATTGAGGGGAAATCGGACCGGCGGTGGTCACCGGAAGCCCCAAATTCCGACCCTTGATCGAGATTGACAATTGATTGACTGTTGTTTCGGAGAGTTTAGCGGCGAAAGTTTGTGTCGCTGTTGTTGTAATTAGTTTGGTAGGGCAATTCGTCGATGATGAGGTGGTGTGAGGGGCTGATGCACGGGCTGCTGCGATTTGAGCAACGGCATTTTTCAGACGTGGGGCTGTTACGCGTGACGTTATTACAGGGACGGCTCCGCGAAGTTTTACGGTTGTCGTAGACGAACGCGACGATGAACTCACCGAAGGTGCGACCGTTTGGATGGTTTTTGATTGAATCGTCGTTGTTGCAGATGGTTGAGTCACGGTCAAAATTTTACCAGCGACTTTTTTCGTCTAAAATGTCCAAGTAAATTTCATTTGTCGTGATATTAAACATAATTAACTTACCCCGATTTGAGTCTTATCCCACAATGTGGTCGTACTCGATGCTGTTTTGTTAGTTTTCGGAAGCATTTGCAAAATATCTACATCGGGATCTTTAATCAACGTCGCAATCAACGTATGTGCTTGTTTTGTAACATCCGGTGCGCCCCTAATAACCAAAAAATCAATCAATAAACAAAAAATACAAATCACTTCGACTTACTTAATCGTAATAATCCTCTCTCCTTGTCCTTTACTCTGCTTTTCCACTTCGATATGAGCCCCCGTAGCACCCCTAATCGCATTAATATTACTCCCACCTCTTCCTATAACTCTCGAAATCGCATTTAACGGTACTGAAACTTTCTTAACTCCGGATTCGGACATTGAAACCGTCTGTACTGACGATTTCCTTACGACTTCCTTCCAACCTTCCTCTCGTTTTGACGACTGTTTCGGACTGGTAGATGTACCGTTTTTGGTGGTTTGATTCTCGTCATAATTGTGTGCCTTTTTCGATTTGTTAGAAACATAGTTTTCATTCCCAGTAGCTTCGAAATCGTCACGTTCAGCTGGACTTTTCGTCGCTTCAAACACAAGACCCTTTCTGAATTGTTGAGCTGATTTTTTATTTTCTGAATTTTTCTCGTTACGTTTTTCAGGTGGTTCGGTTAGGTTTTGCGATTTACTTGAACCGGCTTTGGTCGAAGGACTGCTTGTTTTCGAATTCGAATTAGCTTTCTTTTTCTTTTTGTCTTTGCGCTTGTCATTCGGTTTGAGGTCGTTACTTGAGCAACTGCCTTGGCTGTTGGCATCTATTCCACTATCGCCTTCTTCTTTATCGGCGGAATCGCCGTTACGAATTGCCGGATCGATGTTTTCTTGGACGATATCCTCCTCTTCACCCTTATCGTCTTCAACGATTTTCTTATCTTTATCGTCGTAATTCTCGTTCTTTTTGTTCTCTTCGAGTAATTTGCGTCTCTCTTCTTTCTTTTCGAGTTTCTTCTTCTTCTTTCGTTCTCTTCTCCGCGCAGCGGCAAGTCTCTTTGTCTCTTCACGATTTTTCTCCATATCTAACTCCTCTAATAAAATCGTCGCATTTTTATTCGCCTTTTCCGCCTGTGTGTGTTTCGCGGTTTTAATTATTTTCACACATTCGTGACATTTCTCTAATAATTCTTTATCACTGACGGTTGAAATGTAACGGGTCATTTCTTGATCGCTCGGAAATTGTGTCACGTGATGTACCATCCACTTAACCACCTTAACGTGTCCTTTTCGGAACGCCGCCATCAAACAGGAGACTTTTCTATTGTCTTGCGAGTCAATATCAGCATTGACATTATACAATAATTCAACAACGGCTAAATGACCACCATTTGCTGCCAACCAAAGTGGAGAATTACCTTTTTTGTTCTTAACTTCGATTTGAGCGCCTCTACAGAGAAGAAGTTCTACGAAACGAACATGACCTTTATCGGCGGCTATGGTTAGGGCAGTGTCACGTGACGAAGGGACTGGAGTGGCATTCACATCGGCACCTTTGTCGAGAAGAACTCGGCCAACTTCTACATAACCTCCGCTCGCAGCTTCCATAAGCGGCGTAAGGCCAGTCTAAAAAAATATTTAAATAAAAATAATTGACATTGAAATAAAACAATTACCTTAGCTCTGTGTTCGACATTAGCTTTTCTATCTAGCAATAAGCTGACAACTTCATGCCTCCCTTGAAAACACGCCAGAGTTAGCGCCGTGTTTCTATTGGTCTCGATTTGAGCATTGATATCACTTCCCATATCTAGCAATAGCTTAACAGCAGCAGTGTGTCCATTCATTGCGGCCAACATGAGTGGCGAAATCCCCAATTTACTCCCCGTACGTGAATTAATCTCAGCTCCATGACTCAAAAGCAATTTTATTATGTTGACATAACCACCTGACGCGGCTAAACTCAAGGGAGTATAATCGGAGACGTTTCTATGTTCCTTGTTGGCATTTCTATTGAGAAGGAGTTCGACGACTTCATATCGTCCTCCCGAACAAGCGAGAC